ATGATCTCATTTACAAATTACCCAGTCTTATCTCGCGTACCGTGAACAAACAGCTTCCACAGTTCTCGTCATCAAGCCATAAAATAGAGCGATAACTGAAAACAAGTTTCTGCGCAATTCGGCAAAAATTTTGTGTGTTTAGGTGATTTAAAAAAGTCTCAAAAATTATAAGTGTTTCGTGAATAAAATTCTACAAAAAAAAAGCGTAAGTTCGTACCAGAAAATAATAGTGTGTAATTAAAAACAATACATCAATGTTTATTCAAATATTGAAAATATTTTCATATCTTGTAGTATACAAGCATTTAGACTCGCTTAAATGTGTCACTTTTGCACTTGAAGTTGTTCTACAATGTGACATATATTTATTGTCGGAATTCGTGAATCTAACCAATTTGGTGTGAGAATTCCGACAGCGTTTGAGTCCATAAAGAATCTCGCTGGAATTTTAAAATTGCAAAGAAAAATAAAATCGCGTATAGTGGCTGGATATGGCTGCAAATCTGTGGAAATGTGTAGGATTCTTGACTTTGGAATATTTTTCCTTGTGTCTCAGTGCTACAGTTGACTAGGGTTGTTAGGTAATATATTTTTCGTATAATTGATGACTTGAGATAGTTTTGTATTCTGGGACTTTTTGCAAATAAAGTAAGAAATTTTCGACTTAAAATAGAAATAAAATAATCACTATTTTAAGTTAATAATTAAAATACAATTTGGAAATTTGGTCCTCATCTGGATACTTTCAATTTATTAGATTCCTCTACCACCTTCACTGACTGAGGCCTTGATTATCAATAATAGTTAAAAAGGAGTCTTTCTTCTCTAGCTAAATACGCCACTAAATCCATTTAATATGATAACCTTTCCACCCCCTGACAGCAATCGTAAACATAGGCGATTCAGTGGGTATACTTTATGTATTATATATAAGTTATTTCCCTTTATATAATACTAGATATTCCCGCGGCTTCTTTTTTAATAATAAAAAGAATCCTTTGTTCTTTTTAATACCTCTAAGAATATGTGTACAAGGCGTGAAAACGTTACAAACAAACTTACATTCACATTTATGATATTATGAGTAAGGATAACTGCGAAAACACTAAGAAACTATTCAACGCGGTAATTTCTGAATACGCTTGTTGTAATGCACTGGGTCTGCTATATTATTACACGAGGATAAATTCTTCTATCCATATCATTAAAAATCGCGATAAGTCCGGCAAATCCGGGATAACGTGCAGCCCTAACCCGGCTCGAGGATACGGCGGGGATTGCCGTCGTTATAAATCCCGGCACGCGACATCCTCACTTTACACGCGCCACATCCCGGCAAACTGGGAATTTCTGCACTGAAAACCCGACTGTGATACACGATTCCCGGTGTTTTAAAGTACCGTAACATTACAACCGACTGTTTGCGACGTCACCGGCATTAGTTTCGTTGTATACGGTGCAATGTATAGTATAGTCTTAGTTGCATTAAGTTTTGACTGCCCTCGATCCGCAGATATTGCTAAAACTCGAAAATCAATTTGCAAAGTATATTGATTTCCATCAGAGAGTGAACATTTGATTGATGACTCTTAAAACTGGTACGCCTCACGCCACTGTTAACGTGAAAAATGTTCTGACTATGCTAGTTTGAATTTAGTCTTAGCGAATTAAAGTAAACAATAAATATTCATCACTATCCATGGCTCTAAAACGGGATCATCAATAAAATAAAGTGGATATTCAAGCATGTATATGTATGTAAGGGGTATTTTATTTCATTATCAAAGATCTTTGATCATATACATATTAATATAATGATAAATAAATCAAAGATATGATTATATAATATAATCATATCTTTGATTCAATATTGTTTGAGACATATATGTGTATTACATTTTCATAATTCATTAATTCTATTTTACGTCGTAGGTGGTCGCATGAGAAAGCGGTTGTTGTGCGCTACTATTGCTTCAACGTTTCAGTTTTAACTGAGGTAACAATGACGTTTTAGTGACGTCACTGTTACCAGATCACAGCAAGTTTGGTTAGCCAAAGAACATATCCTTTTAGTATGGTTGTTTTTAAGCAAATGTATAATTGGAATATGTAAATTGCTTGAATCCAAATTATAAAAAATTATAAAAAAATCAAAAAATATATATTTTATCAATTTCATTATATGTATACGTTTAAATATCGAGTTAAAATAATAAGAAATAACAATCCTATGTGTTCGAATTAAATCGCCCACAGCCGAAAACGCTTCTCAGAGTCGATTTACCGCTATCGAAAACCGATAGACAATGAACGTCGTCATCGAGGGCCATAGTCGTTTACAACTGAACTATGGCAGTGACAGTGTAACCGTTAAAGCGGCCGTTACGTAGTTGGGTGATATACGAGCCACTAAGTGTCCCCGCGCCGCTGTCACTTCACGTGGGGCAAAAAGATAAAAGGCGTCCCGATATACGATTCACAAGTGGCCGCGGAACGGTCGCGAGATCGCCGAGCGAGGCTTTACGGAGGGCAATATATCTCTCGTATCTCTATCCAATTTCTGCTCTATGGCGTGTAATATCCCGCAGCGGTCCTTTTAATTTTTGCCTCGGCCTTTAATTTCGGACCATTAATTCCGGCCTTATATCCATATATTCGCTGGAAAAGATTTTTTTGTAATCCGCTGGGATAAGGAAGTGTCTTTGCGATGCAGCGTTCGTACCATCTAATTACTTGCTTGAATAGGGTTCCCGACCTATTCGCTCGATGGAATTTCATTTGTCGGTAGCACTGTGTAATATCCGCCCTACTGGCATCAATGTCTCCGTGATTGCTACTAATTAAAAAGAAGATAGTTTAATAAAAAAGAAGAGGACTGAAAAAGGGGGCAACAAAACATTGTGAGTCTGCTATTTGTCCAGTCGAGCGTCGCACAACAAAACGACGTAATAATGTGCGGCAGCTTAACTTGCCAACATTTTGCCAAGAGACCGATTTAAAACTTGACCGTTCACGATGTCGCTAGTTTGCCCGGGAAGCTTCAAATTAATCTAACACGCCCCGCTTCGAACGGGCCTGACTTTTATTTTGGCTCGCGCCACTCAACTTTGTAAAGCGTCAAACTCGGAAATCTACTCACATGGTTGCGATGCACCAATTTTGCGAACGATTATTTATCTAATTTTATCATCTGAATTGATAACATAGTAGCGGTTAAATCTTATACTTTAATGCATGTAATTTGAATATTGCACCATTTGCTATTTAATAAGTTGCATTAGAAAACTTAGATATCTGTAATGAAGATGTAAATTTTAATAGATTCGCTTGGAGCCAAATCTCAACCCTACAATTTATAAATGAGGGTTGTCATAATGAGGCATTAAATGGCGGCCTAATTGCGAATGATCGTGTGCTGAATTCCCTTTCACTGGGTGGTTCTAATGGCGAATCGCCAATGGCCTCGACCCCAAGTTCCACTGACCTTTGCCTTTATGACGTCGGCCCTACCTCCCACCCTCACTAGCCTCGCCTTCATAATTCTATTTACTGTGATTCTGAAGTGTTAGAACTAATTTGACTTTGACTCTGACAGATAAATTAATTTTATACGCATCAAAAATATTTACATAATTACAACCCTATTCCTTTAGTTCTCTTTTATAATATTAGATAGGTTTTTTGCATTACTTTTAAACGTTAATTCCTTTTTTTAACTTTGAATAATATAAATACATCTTTGTACATACGTACAGAACCTAAGCTGTCGATATAGGCATAGCGATATCGGCAGTTTGCTTAAACGTAATGTTAACTCTATGCCGCTGTTTCGGCATTTAGCTTTGTGGCTGCGTTCAGAGATAGTTCATCGTGTTAGCTTTGTTTTCACCCTAATTAGGACTCACCGCGGAGCGCACTCCTCTTTGTTAACTTTACAAGCGAGAACATTCAATGTTAGCGCTCGGGATAGTCTGTTCACATCACAACAAGTCTCATAACTTGTGCTTGAGCAACTCCTGATACCTACCACACCGCAGCGTGCTGCATTTCGGTTTTCAATAAAGCTCGGGAACGACACGCCTCGGTCCAGGGGTTTGCTCACCTGTCGGCCGCCCGTAACGAGGTTATATGAAACAGTTTCGGGGCGAGATTGCTCGGGGAATGTTCTCGGCTGTCATAAAGTTTGGACGGAGCGGGCGGGCAAGCAGCACCTGCTCGGCTTCCTATTATATTACGTGCCGGCGAGTTATTAAGTACGCGGCAACTTTGTCTGGCGTCCGCTGCGTCGCAGTAGATTTCCCGCTCCTTAATCGCACTGATTTTGTGAAGGCGGGTTTGTGTTTGTGTCCGTTCTTTACACGGCGAAAACTGAATGGATTCGAATATTTGGAATAGAACTAAAGCTACAGTTTAAATTTGCGTTTTTGATCGTTAGCAAACTATTTTGTCGAAAGGAATCACGCAGATCTGAAATTTTTTATGATTATAATCAAAATGGCAGACAATATAATCTACATTAGGAAATCCCAATTAGCTTTCTCTATCCTTATTGGCAAATAACGATAGAATATTGCAATTGCTACCTTAAAAACGATATCAAAGAATAGATTTACATTAACTTAAAAGTAGAATTGGTATAGGAGATTCACAAATGAAGAATCATATTATCTAGGTGGTGTTGATGCATTTTTCTGACTTGTTGTTTTGTTAGCAAGGTACGCAAAAGTTAATAATATAAATATATTTACGCCCCTAACCTCACTATGTAATTATACATTACCGATGTCATATATATTTTATAGGCAGTTATAGGCAAAATTACTGGGATGTCAGTGGAGACATAGTTAAGGTAAATCCAATTCTCTTCATGAGATTAATATAGATTAGCAAATCTATCTCATTAACTTTTACCTACCTACGTAGCTTAAGGAATTAATTCACCAGAGATTGCTCTGAAGGAGAAACTAAACCTTGAACCCGAATGAAATTTATGTTTACAGATTAACGATGGACTGGAGGATAGGTTTCGCCACCCTCCTCATGGCGTTATACGCGGATGCCTTTTCGAGTGAGTATAAAAGTGTTTATTATCCGACCTCGCACTTTTTACACTTGTCATAAAACAACACGAGGTTCATCTTCGAAACACGACAACCCATCTGCGGCTTTATTTCGCCAAAACCTATTTAAAGAAATCTCCCGCACCGCAACCTGACTGCCTTTCGGTCCGACCGTAAATTTTACTAATATTGAATAGACTACGCAGTCTATTCAGTATTAGTAAAATTTCGTCTTGTTCATAAAGAACTTTTAAAACATTAACTGTTATATCATTAGCAAAGTGAAATTTACGCAAATACGTAGTTGATATAAAACTACTTTACATATTTCAACAGCCATTAAATTTATTTCCAAATTCACATACGAGAATGCGGTACGGCCACGCTTCCAACAACTTCCTCTGTTGCACAAATGGGTAGGCTTGTCCGAGGAAGTTTTGCCTCACAGGAGAGCAGTATATTGTACCTATGCATTTCGTCTAGCGAGGAAGTTAACCGGGACCCACTATTTTGAAGGGATGACAACACAAATGCAACCTCGGTTTTGTATACTTTAATGGGTGGCGGAAATATCATAAGTAGAACCGTCTACTCGCTTGCCAAATTGTAACAAAGAAAAATGACTATCTTTCAAAGAATTCCCTATGAAGCTACTGAAATAAAGACATTCTAAAATCTAGTGATGATTGTTGTTAAAACTCTCGTACGCCAAAACTGCAAGGCGTCGAGATATTGTAAGGTCGATCTGCGTCGTGCGGTATACAATAATCAAAAAGCTAACCATAGCCTGGGTTAACGCTAGACTCAAATAAATCTATTGATTACTTCACACGTGAAATCATATCAATGTAACTTTCCGAGCAAGATTATATTGAACGCCAGTTAGATGCTTATTTACGTCCCTAAGTGAGGCTGAAAATAATTACGTCTTTGCCGGAACTAAAGTTACTGTAAATTATTCGGAAACGGCGGGAATTACGACAAAATTAAATTCGCTAAAACCCATAAAATAATATTACAATCCTGTCAAGAATATGATCCTTTAATTAAACGCTTTAATCAAATTATTAGTCTGCATATACATTTCGTTTTTGATATTTTGTAAGTTTAATTTTTAGGACATGTTATATACGACATATAGAATCAAGTGATTTAATCCTTGGCCCAAATATCAAACGAAGCATTAAAAGTGTTAAAAATTATCCCATAAGGTCACATAGCCACGTGATATGAGAGCTCGGTAGCACTAGTCTCTGTGGTATCACAAAAATAAAAGATCGTAGTAGACGTCTCCCGCATCTGCGCCTTGCCACGAAGACTGCACACTTAAGTTACCACCCGAATCCATTACCTAATGCACACATAAAGCTCGCTCACTGCTCTCCGGCGAAGTGTAACAAAACAATGCGTTATGATCGGACCTTATGCCGCGCTTTTTACTTGTTTTTATTGCGTATAAAGTCGCAAGTGTCATAAATTCCATCATACATCGTGAGTAACAGCTCGGAACAACGAGAAGCTATGACGTAGTAGTGAGTTACATCACTGTTTGCAATGTGTACTTGTGAAGTCTGTGAATTCAACACGGTTCGGTCAAAAACCTCATCCTTATTATACAGTTATGTAATATACTCAACCATTTTTTAATGCTGTCTGTGTTGGCGATCTTAGTTGGCGCTGTTTGATATTCGACGAGCCTTTTAGATCGGTAATAGACTTTTTAAATATGGGACAAACATTCTTACAATATGCACCCAATCTGCTGTGGAGTCACAGCCAGCCATTTTGTGAAAATGTTAAAATGTATAAGTAGGAAAATTTCTTCATTATCAAAACGTAGGTGTATATCGTATTGTAATTTACTAGCTTATACCCGCAACTTTGACCACGGATCTAGCAACGGAATATAAATTAAAGTATTCATCAGATTCCTTCCCTCTTTTATAAATAAAAATTAAGGTTTGTTTATTTTCCTCCCAATAATTGTTCAATATTGCGCTTCCAAATATTTTAATCGATAGAGAAACATTATTTTCATTAATAAGCAAAAATCGGTGGACAAAACCATATTACGAGAAAAAAAATCTTAATAATTAAATTCGCCATTTTATTGACATCAAAACGTAAAGATAATTCGTAACAATCGTAAGTACTGATTAGGCAATGACAATATTTAAACACGGCCAATATCGCTATTATCGATTTCCGAAATCGAGTAAAAATTTTAGGGAATCTTTCTGTTTTGGGATTTTTTTAATAGTTTACATTACATTTTTTTTCCTTCAAATTGATTGATCAGATTCGTTAAGTGTACATTTTTCTACGTCAAGGAGAATCAACTGGTAAACAAAGCGAAGTTATTAAAATCGTTCCTATCAAGTTGTAATTTGTGACTACAATGTACACAAGGCAATCTTGTACTTTATCGCTAGAAGCGTTTGGATAGTGACATTCCTTGGGTTGTTTTAACACACGATAAATAAAATGAATCGAGTAAATTTTTTCTTTTTAAGATCGAAATCTTGAATTTTATATAGATATCAAACCGAGAAGAGGCTAATTCAGTCGACTTAAGATCTAAATCAGTTGGCTTACGAACTTTGTGGTTACACTTTGAAGTCAATAAATGACGAACTTTCTTACTTAAAAATAACAAGATTTAATATTAATATATCTACAAATATGTTGTTGTCCGCCGATTATTGCATATTAAATATATAAATTGTTATTTCACTATCAATTAATCAAAAATAATTAAAGCTCATTACTGATAGCCTAAGGCTCCTGCGCAATTACCCTTTTAATTATTACAAGAATTCGTGTAACGAACAATATAATATAACATGTTTAATTGTTGCTTTAAGTTTCTACGTACCTACATTCCGCGTTACACTTTTTTTCCGTGTTCTAATTTGAAGTTGAAAGCGTTTGCAACAAGAAAAGGGCGAATAACATACTTAAACTTGTTTCTATGCCCATTCTTCATTTCCATTTCGGCCTTTCCTTTTCCTTTCATACTATTATTTTTTTTTTCTTTTCACAAGTTTGTTTGCGATTATAATACTCGAGCGCGTAACCATAAACCGGGGGTGGCTAACGCGTGTTACAACTTCGGCGCGAAAAGGCCGGAACATTTCGGCTCGGGGAAGTTTCTCTGTTCTGGCTTATATCGGGCGCTATTGACTCTTGGGTCGCGGTGGGCCAAACGCTAGTACATAGGCTGTTATATGCAAATGGGCCTTTCACCCTCGCGGCCGAATTCTTCGCCCGGTCGCGATTACGAGCCACAGGATAGGCACAATTCCCGAACTTACACGAATGAAATTTATTCATAGAATGTGCGCACTTACATTTCGAACACCTTATTATATCAATAACTGGTCCCTTCCGCCTCGGCATGTCATATTTGGCACTATTTGTTCGAGGGATTCGTGCGTAGTGAACTATTCTCGAGACTCTTTTTACGACCGCTGTTATTGGGTAGTTTAGTTGAGTGATCGAATATTTTATCTTTTTAAAAGTGAACTTTTTATGTAAATAACGTGAGTTTTTGTCCTGGATTATTTAACGCCACGTTTTCTTATTCACAACTAGGATAAGAACTTATTACTTTTTACATTATGATTTGCCGGTTTTAATTTTTTCAGAAAACGCCAATTTAGTTTAAAATCCATAGTTTCGTTTTATAATCTGCTAAGTTTCGTCGGTGAATTAATGAAAGTAAATTGTGGTTTCGGTAATGATGTGCAATAAGATGAACATAATATTGGTATTACTTTATTTTGATTACTATCATAGGTCGTGTAGTGGTGATTCCCAAAAAGTAATGCCTATTCTAGATCTGAACAGTATGATCGAGAATGATATAAATATTCCAAGTTACATATAGAATGAAACCTAATATTAATTACGTATTTTATTCATGTCAATTTTCCATTAGAGATAGATAACCTTTGATGAAAATATCTCGTATTGTTGATGTCTTTTGAATTGTTCATCCAAAATTTTGTTATTTATGACTTAATGCAATACCATTTCTTATTTTTATTTAATGTGAAGCGGATTAGGTTTATTCTGAAGTGATGCCATCATCTTAGTCCTTAATTGCATTCTTGTGGGGGTTTACAATGCAAGTAGCCGTTAATGATAATATTTATAAATAGTAGGTATTTTCGCTAATGGGCAATTGAACCTTGTGTTATTCCAAAAGCTATATGTTTTTGTATTGTTGTATTTGAATCGTGCACATTATTTTTTCGGAACTGAGTTTGTTTGTGACTTTAACTAGCATAGCAAGTTTCGGCGAGTTTTTTTTTTTTAAAATAATTACATAAAAAAATTAAATATAGCCTACTTTGTCAAACGCCTTTCGATGATCTATATATCAATCACATCTAATAGGAGCATATGTATTTTCTATTTTTTATAGAATATGGACGAACGTGTAAAGACATCGGATGCTTGAACAGCGAAGTATGCGTTCTCGCTGAGGACCCATGCACATACGGAAGCTCAAATTGCGGCACATATCCCACATGCAAGAAGAAGTCCAAAGTAGAAGGTATATTTAATCGTTTTTAATTATTATGGCCTGTCCAAAAACATTCAATACACAAACATAATATATCCCACTAGTCAACAGCATTTGACAATGATATTATCGTCTTTGCTTCTCATAGAAAATATTTTTAGCCATTTAGTAGTTTCACCTTTTGTAAAAAATAAAAAATATCATAACAACGAACATAATATAATACATACAATCATCCGACTACCTTTATACGTGTCTTAACAATCGCGAAAATAAATGAAAGCACATATAGAGGATAACTTTTTAAAATTCTATTAAAAATTTACATTCATTTCTTTAAACAAAAATATTTACCGAGTTATTAAATTTTCCAAAACAAACAACTTTAGAACACCCTTAAGTATAAAACTGTAACGTAAAGTTCATTTGTAAAGGTCACAAAGCATATGAATGGGTTGAATGAATTTAAAAGAGACAAAACATGCTGTTAGAAGGAGAGGCTTGTAATGCGACGCTGTGGCAACGAATGAAAAAGTCTCTGAATGTTTGAATCAGTCAATTATAGTTGTATAGATGTTACAATTTTTTTTCTTTTTTACTTAATTAGTTTGTTTGAAAAATATATTTTTTTAATTATGTAAGTATTTTATTTTAACGTTAATATTTTCTTATGATTATTGGCAAGTAGCGTTAGACGTGTGTTCATTTATTATCGCCGTTGTATCGACACGCTGTATACATAAATTTATTACTCTACAATAAATATTGCACGCCGGTTTTTGAAAAGAGGCAATCGGATAGTTCGTAGAGCGTCTAAAACACTGACAAACATGGGACAGCCGATTGTCTCTTTCCAAAGATCAACGTGCAATATTTATCCCCGAGTACTGTATTAGTTTATCATATGATAAACAACGCGCGTTAACCGCATTACAAACGTTACCGCTTCAGGATCACACTCGGAGCCAGCTCAACCATCAATTCCGAAACCGGTGCCGCAGACACCGACGAGAGACTCGGACTCCGCGCCGAGCTATCCCGCACCAGCGCCTCCCCCTGGCCCCTCGACGAACTTTGGCGGCAGCACTCACGGGGGCGGCTCGCCATACGGTGGGAATTCGCCCTACGGTGGAAACTCGCCCTACGGCGGAAGCTCGCCCTACGGCGGGAATTCCCCATACGGTGGAAGCTCCCCCAACGGCGGGAATTCCCCATACGGTGGGAGTTCCCCGTACGGCGGGAATTCCCCCTACGGCGGAAACTCGCCGTACGGGGGCAGCTCAAACCGCGGCGGGAATAACCCGTACGGCGGCGGCTCCCCCTACGGCGGTTCAAACCCGACCGCCACTAAGGGCCCGTTAGACAGCATATTCAACACGCTCAACAACTTCGGCGGCGGGGGCGCGGGTGGCGGCTCGGGCGCCGGCCTATCCAACATATTCGGCAACATCCTCGGCAACCTCTCGAAGAGCGGCGGTCTGAACGGGCTGTTCAACACGAGACCGATAATGGAGAACCCCAGCTACCCCTCGTACAGCTCCAACTCGAGGAGCTCTAACAGCCAGCAGTACCCGTCGGGGCAGCCCGCGTACCAAGCGCCGAGCCAGAACGTGAACTACGCGCAAAGCCACGCGCGCCACAACGCCGCCACCACGCGCAAGCCGGCCTCCTACGGCTGGAACCTCGGGTAAATTGGCCATCGCTCGCGACTAACGGTGTGGCTTTAGCTGTATTTAGTATGAAACACCCTCGCATGAACACACACAATTTCGCTTCTCCGAAGCAGACGCAGATTAACATTAAAGTATTTCGAATAGATGTCACCGATGTGCCTCGCATATATTGTACACGACTTCCTAAGATAACGCTTTTGCGGCTATGGACAAACTTGTTCACTTCTTTTTTTTTGCATCACTAGTTTTTTTCTTCTTCAGTCTTGATGAAAAGTCGAACTGTTGTAGTTTAGTAAGTGAAAGTAGAATCTCCAGATACTCACTCACCGGTGATTTATTTTTAATAAATCGATTATTGAACCGTAAAAGCGCTTGTAACAGAACTTATAATAAATTGTTATACTGTAAATGTATTATAACCACCATGTTACCATGTTTTAAACATATGAAGTTGCACGCTTTTAAGTAGTTACTGGTGATACAACTGCATCCACTTAGTGACTGCTGCTTTTCCCGTTAAATCACAAAGTTATACTCGGTAAGTTTTTTTTTTTTTAATTACTGATCTATGAACAATAAAAAGTTTTAATTTTAACACATCGCTATGAGAACGGCATTACTTGTTCAATTTAACCTATGAGGCGGACACTAGCGACTGATTTAGACATGGAACAATTAGAATATTATTATTCGTTAAAAAAGTTGTTATTCTAGCATTGTTATTGCATAAAACAAAGTATCTTAAATGGAATGTATGAAGACTGGTACATGCGATGCTATTCTTCACGTAACCCGAAAAAAGCTAGATGATTTCCTGTTATGTATTGAAACCATATTTACTCTTATAAAATCTAACGGTCTGTCCATATACACCGGTATATGGACAGACCGTTAGATTTTGTATTAAAAATATGTGTATTGATATTGCATGCTTGATGTTTATAGTACAACATTAATTTACTATTTTACACATATGCTGTGACAAAGATAAAAGTATGGAAAAGCCAACTTACTTATAATAATCTACATATCTAAATGTATAATTAAATATGAATAAACTAGTGATTCATACAAAGCATGTCAATAATAAAACTAATTTTCTTAATATCATTTTAACAAGCTTAAAATTTAATACTCTATTTCTTCCATTCTTATGACTAACATATTTATTTTTTATTCTCCCTTTTCATGCAAAGAAAAGAGAGATTCAAAAGTAAATGATAAAAAACAAAAAGCAATTTACAATTATTTTGCAGACCTTACAATCACTATTTTAATCAACATAATTAAATCGTTACAAAATAATTATCTGAAAAATTCAGTTTACATTATTTTTTTATTTGAAATTTCTCGAGTATACTCATTGTAAATCAAAGATATCATTAATTTAATATAGATATATTTTTGTTGTTATTTCTTCATCATTTTTGTAAATACTCAGTCCTTATATAGAATAATCACCAGTGCCATTCTAATTCCTTCGTATTGTCTTTTTATTTCAGTGTGACCATAATGTTGACTTACCTGCTACAACAATATATCCACAGTGTGATACGCCAGTGATTTTTATTTATGTTTTAATTTATCCTTTTTTTTCATAAGAGCTAATCATTTTGGTGCCTTGTAATTAACTGTTACATTTTTGTATATGTATGTATATATCGTTCAAATATTAACATAAAATTTTTATTTAGTTGTAATTAGTTTTATTATTAGTATTTAAGAGATCCGTTTAAATGTTTTAGTCAATACGCGTATTTAGACTGCATTAATTAGTAAATACTAAAAAATGTACACAACAATAAACTCAAAACAAAATTAAGGTTTAAAATAAGAGTATAGAGGCGACCTAACCTTAACAGGAGTTGTAGCTTCGTCTTAAATCCTTCTCACTAACTCACCCGCCAACTTGATGACTATGAACAAATTGCTGGATTCAGGAGGATATTCCACTATCGATTACATCCATACAATGAAACATTAATTGATGAAAAAACGACGTAATGAATATAAACGGATGTTTCGGCTTTCGATAGCGTACGCGTAAGGCTTTCGAACACAGCCGTGTTCCGTTCACTCCATCGCTGTAAAATCGTTTCACAGTACTTTGATGTCCTCCGCGATATCTACTGGTCAGCAACAATGCAAGTCAGGGTTAATGCTCATAGTATCAATAACGTCCCCATTAAGCGAGGTGGCAGAAAGACACTATTTCACCTAAGATTTGTGCCTCCATCTTAGAAGACGTGGTAAAGATGCTTCATTGAGATAGTTAAGGCACATCAATGGCGTTATACGTCACACCTTCGTATATATGTTCAGTGAGAAGATGTAATAAAGGAATGAACATCAACGGCGTTTTAGGTCACACCTCCGCTTTGCATACTTGATAATGTTCAGTGAGCGGATGCAAGATCTTCAAGACACGCTGCAGCAACATAAGGTACGATACTTCTCTAAGAGGACCTCAAGATGAATATGTCCATGAAATGAATATGAGCTATTGACCGTTCCATGCTGGGATTGCTGGGCATAGATTAAATGCCGATCACATCCACAATACCGATTATCCGTCGTAGAACAAAGGTCTACGAAGTGGGTAAACATAATGTATATGGTGAAAGCTGTGTAGAGTATAGATAGGCGGAGTAGAACCCTAACCGAATGAAGGCGTGGTATCGGACGACCACTTTTTTTACGAGGCAAAATCCTTTATGGATCCCCTGCTACTGATTCGGAGAAGTGGCAGGGGTATATAACATAATCTAATTTTCTAGGAACACTATTAATATCTCTTTTTGGCATCTTATTTTAACTGTGGTAGGGCGACGCAATAGTGTTCGCTGTTACTCGAATGGGCAGGTCCGCCCGGGTAAGTACCGCGACTTCAGAAGACCGGCATAAGGTGAAAGTGTTCTACTTCCGCGTTTCGTTTGATGAGTGAGCCGGGGCCCATTTTTTTAAAAGGTGGCAACGCCCATGTGCGGCGTGTGCAAAGGCAGCTCGTTTACTACACGTTTTCGTTTCTCACATAAAAAACTTAATTTAATAAATTTAATTCACTTAATTTAATAAAAGTTATCAAAGTTGATTATGTGGTTTCATTCACGTAGTACAATGAAGGTAAGACAATAAAAATATTTCTGCACATAAGGTTTGCTTTTAAAGATGTATATATTTTATTGCCTTATTATAATATTTCAATATATATAAACCATATATTATACACAAACTCTTTAAACGTTTATCCATAACTTAAAGCTAAAAATGAAAGCCATAACAACTTAAGACTTTAATTTTATTGCATTTTTTTAGAATAATCTTAGATAGTGAACCAATAGTGTGTGAGACCGCAGGTTACTGTGCATGAAAAAATTAAACATTACTGTCCTATGCCCAGCAGTTTTAAAGATATTCTCTTACTGTATGTATACTTAAAAATATGATTTATTTATTCATTTTAAATATATATTATTATACATTATATACATTATAAAGATATATTAAAAAAAATATTATTTAAATCGATCGATGCGATTTTTAAATTACGTAATTGGAAACCTGATATTTGAATGAAGCTAGTTTAAAAAAAAATATTTTAAAATAAAAAAAAAACGCTTTCATTTTTTTCATTTAAATTATGAATAGTGTGATTAACAAAAAAAACTTCTTTTTCATTGTAGAAAAGCGCAGGGTGGTTGGAGTTAATTGTTGCAAAATTTCAATGATAGTATACACAGTAGCTGGTAAAAGTAGCTTGGGTGTTTTTTAAGATATTTCTATTATGAATAGAAATATCTTAAAATGCACCCAAGCTTTTCTGCAATAAAGAAAATTTTTTTTTACTAATTTAAATTTATTGAAAATTATTTTCTACTTTTTACTTCGGTTATCTACGAAATCGGTTTTTAGGTTTTTTTTATTATTTATTACTTATTTTCTAAGTATAAAAGCGTGTTTTTTTATTTCTTCGTATTTGGCACAAGGAGTCTACCGGGTATCGAATTTCGAAAATAGCCAATCTTGAAGGTCTTGATCAGGATAATGGGAAAAAGTACTTCAATGATTGCATTATCATGGTCTTTGACGAGTGTACAACATTTGATTCAAATCTGATCGTTCAAAGTGGGGCGAAATCACGTTTAAAGATTCCGATACATTCAGGCGAAACTAATTTAAGCTTGTTAAAAAAGTATGACAGCCTTTCAAGTCAGTCAATAAAGTTTAAATTTTTTCGTGCATAATAAGTAGCTGTATCATCCACATCCTGTTGGTCCACTACTTACGGAACATCATGTAAATTCGAATTTTAATAAGATCTTTAATTCCATTATACAGACTACACTCCGAAATAGAACAGAATCCATATAGAACCTTCTCAATATTGACTAAAATTTATATGCTAGAACGTATTGAACTTTATTGCGTTATATTTTCCACTTATGGCTTCGTCACTTCCCCATCCGTAACAGTCTTTTTTGGTCTACTAAGCCCATGCACTTGATTTAGTATTATACCCAAAATTAAAAAGGTAAACCATACGCCATACCAGTAATGATACACTGACGAATAATAGATCCAAATGCGGTCGAATGTTAAGAGCAGAAATGCAGCAGCTTGGTAAGATTCGGAGTGAGATCTAAGGAACCACATAATGAAGCCTATAACTTTTCTTTTCTGTAATCAAGCGAAAAATAACACTGTGATCATCTGTAATAAATAAGTAAATAACATAACTCTAATAGTCATTTTATTTTTTATTATTAGTTTGTCATGCTTACCATCCCAGTGGCGTTCTTGTAATACAGTTTATAATATATATCCTCTGCCATTAAGTAAAATGGACAGAAGTATATGCAAAAGAAATAACCAGCATGGAAACCATGCCATATCACAGATACAAATAAAGCTGCATGTATCCTGAAAGACATAAAACTAAAATAAGTCCCTAACATAATTTTTAATTTCAAGCAGATGATGCTAATGTTGAGTGTTAGTTGTAACTTGTGAACATATCATTATAACTGTACATTACAAGACAATTGCTTACTTTAGTGGTTTCACAGGAAACCTCTTATACACAACCATAGCAACCCAGTACTGCACAGCTTTATTCCAAACTTTCATTGAGTCACGTAATGTTACAACTGTCTCACAACCCCATACTTCCATTGATTCCACGGTATTAAAATCGTACAGAGACACTTTTGCCTCCTCTTCAGACCTATGAAAATAAAAGAAGATTAAGAAAAATTGACAGAACAAAATCATTTACTGTAAAAACTAAAAACTACTGAATTGATTAAAAAATTTACTATGACCAATTCTTAATTTTCAATGTTAAAAGTTTGAATTAAAATTAATTGACTATAATCATATTTCATGGGAGCCTATGGAAGCAGCCCACTGTAACTGAGGTAGGAAAATAAAAAAAATCACCTACATTTGTTTCAATTTCAAATATCTTACTGTTGGACCGTGGCCAGTTCTGTTCCTTCCTTCTACAGGATAAGCGCCAAGCCCCGTCGAAGTACAAACACTCTCAGCCAATGTCATACCGGAATAAATGCGTTGCCTAAATGCAGCAAAGAGAGCCCAAGGATATAACATTCTGTAGAGGAAGCTTCTATTATTATGATCTTCAGAAAGGATGTACTGTAATTAAAAAAAATGTTTTGTAATCTAAATTAAAAACCTAATAATGTAAATTTCATGAGTTTATGTATATATGGAGGGTAATTTCTGTTACACAACAAAGATTTCTTTCACCATTTTGAAACATTAGTCCTAATAGATATAACCTATGTTGTGTACATTATCTTTAACAAAACCAGAAAATGCTCCAATCATATATGTGTGTTTCTTTGGCTACAATTTTTATTTATATTGAGACATAGAGATATATGTGAAAGTTCCTATTTAATGTAGTTAGGCCTTGATTCTAATGAGTCTTTGAATTTTTTTTATAATTTTATATTGATTTATTAAATTTCTAAGCTTTAAATATATTTAAAATAATGTTATAAAAAGATTTTCTTGAGTCAAGTACTAAATCATAAGATATAAAAATATATTCATTAAGAAAGAAGTTCAAATGACTGCTTTAAACAAAATTAACTTTATTATATATGATATCTGCTTGGATTTCTTCAATATTATAAAAACTCACCTCTAAAGGCCAAACATTGGATAATGCCAAATATAATGATACATATACAGGTACTTTTGTTAATGTGTTGATTGTAAAACCAGTACAATCAACATACTTGCTGAAGGGCAAATGAAAGTAATCATCAAACGTTCTGTATCTATAGTATGGACCTGAAATAATTTCAAACTTTCAATATCGAACACATTTTAGCAATAAATAACTTTAATGGTAAAATTATTATTTTCACCTGTGAGCAACCCAATATAGTTAAAAGAATAATGAAATAAATCAACAAAACTAGGGTTTATTATTTCAAGAAAATCATCATCCCTTTCTTTTACTCCTTTTGATTCAGATTTATTTACATTCTCATTTTTCTTTCCTTCTCCAACTGCTAGCCAGGAACCATTGATTTCAAATGCCACTCCAACAACTCTTAATACTATAATCATTTCTATTAAGTTTGTCTGACCAGACGAAAGTGGCAGACCAAATTTATCTGCTAGTCGGAAGAAAAATAAATATCCGAACATAAAGAAAAATGTTATTATGTGACAGTACCTGAAAAAAATATAAATGAAAAAACCCAAAAAAGCGGGAGTTGACATATTGTTTACATTATTAAACATAGTTTATTTAAGCGATACTCTATCACAGTTACCTTACTGTGGCCACTTTTATTAATATTATTCCAAGTAGTGCCGAAAGAATGGGATGGATTGCACTGCAACCAGATACAATTGCTATAAGCAGAATACCCAGCATTGATCCTACCCATTTTTTTGTCTTCAAAGAACCTAAGTTTCTGTAATAAGGTCCTATAAAGACACTAAATAATAAAAGTCCTAAATAAATTAAATCGTTCTTATTTTTCGATAAAAATGCCAACATCTTGAAGGGAATAAGAACTTTAAAATATTTTAACAATCACAAACAAAAATATCCTTGTTTCATCCTTGTCACCTTGTCCCTTTTTGATGAGATAGTTTGATTTAGTGGTGGGCGATACATATCGTATCAGATATGAAAACTAGATATTAGTACAATATCCGAATATCGCTTACTGGCTCGTTCAATATCTATGTATTTTACAATATCTGATATTTCCGAAATCTGATGTAACGTGCTCGCTCGCTATACCGACACGAATCGCGATATCATACGCGTTTGCCACAATATCTGATTTTTAAACAGATTTCGAGAGACAAAGCGCGTGAGATACAAATACTCACTAGTTAGAGCGGGACGGCAAGCAATGCACGATATCAGATATCGAGAGACAAAGCGCGTGAGATACAAATACTCACTAGTTAGAGCGGGACGGCAAGCAATGCACGATATCAGATATCGAGCGACAGAGCGCGTGAGATATAAATACTCACTAGTTAGAGCGGGACGGCAAGCAATGCACGATATCACATTTTTAAACAGATTTTGAGCGACAAAGCGCGTGAGATACAAATATTACACTAGTTAGAGCAGTACGGCAAGCAAGGCACAATATCAGATTTTTAAACAGATATTTTGAATAAGTTAAGTAATTTTGAATCTTAAAACCATGTCAATAAGATCCGTTTCAATTAAATACTAATCATGGTATCAACGATTACTACAACGATATTATTAAGTATATTTTTATTGCTTTGTTTAGCCTTGAGCCGTAAAGGGCGACAAAGCGCGCAGTTAAGTAATTTTGAATCTTAACAGCATGGAAAAAAACGTTTTTAGTTGCATTTAAATACGAATTACGGTATTAACGATGTCTTTAAATTTTGTTTAACCTTGAGCTGGATTGCATTGGTACCTAGCACGTAATAGTAAGGGATGCCAACTTACTACTTAAGAATTTTCTGCCTAAATTAAGGAAGAAAAATATAAATGGAAATTTTTTAGGAGGTAAATTTTTTGTGAATATTTTTATTCGTTAAATTTTATTCATATTTTTGGAAAAAAAAATAAAAGTACACAAAAAAAGAAAAATATAATTTAATAGTGCTGTGCTGCTTGGGTGGAAATCAGACCAAGGCTTATGTGCTGTGTATATTACTTCAATTTCTATTTTTAATGAAATTTTTAATTTAATCAGGTAATGTTTTAATTTTACCTTAAGAGTATAAAAAAAGTGTGATTTTAAATTCAGTAAGGTTTTTGAATTTAGTCAATTTTAGTGGGTTTTCGAATTTATTTAGAAGTATTCTTTTTGAACAGTTGGTATCACTGGTAATAGCTTTAGTTATTTAGGAGGTATAATGATCGTCGAATGAATGAATGAATGAAATGAATCAACTTTTAAATACGCCTTCACAATTTATATTTATTTTTTTATTATTATTATTTTATTTTTTTAGAATTCAAGGTGGATACGGGACCGTAAAATATCTAGATATTAAAATACATAGTTTCGAAATCTGATATTTGAAATCGAAATCTGATTCAGATACGGTACTCAGAAAAAGCGATACGACCCATCTCTAGTTTGAATATGATTTGATTTTGAAAGTTCAACTATAGTATTTTTTTAATATGATTTTTCGTGGTACAGGCAAAGGAAAAAAACTTCCTGTCAAAGTCAGCTTTTCTCCAAATAAAAAATTGTCTGTATTTTGATTATAAGATAAATGTGTGAAGGTCAGTAAAGTTACTGTAAAGTACTGAGTTGTTTGTTATTAATAACTTACCTGTATTGGATGATAAACTTGAATGTTATGCCAAAGATCTTGTAGGGAGCGCACCATCCCCCCGGGCATTTTCGACTTCTTACGACTCATACCTCCTATATAGAGTATATCTAAGACTTATCCCCGGTTTCTAAAACACTGATCATCGTAGAACCTGTGCCGAAGTCACGGATAATATGCTGCCCATATTATTTATTTTACACTTTTACACATTATTGTACACGTACCGACTTCACTAATAATAGTTATCTTTTTGGCTTCGGAGTTTCTGTAGATGACTCTGATATGTTCACGGCATAGGTAAGTTGTTTGTCATCCATGAATATTATTAGCAGTCGTCCCTCGAATCTTGCGAATTTTTTTTACAGCCATGTATATAACTAGTAATTCGAGATGTGGAGAGGAGATGACCACGGACTTTTATTAGGTATCTTGTTGAATCATGTTTTCAAATTCCTTCTTGGCTGCTTCTTAACAATGTGATGGTATTGGGTGAGTTCGGCATTTGACAGATGGTCCTTAGGTTTCGATAAAGTATTACACGTTGATATTTGAGTTCAATTGCTTCGTATTGCAAGGTGATGTGCAGCGTCGTGCCCAGTGCCGGATTTAGGGGAGGGCAACCGGGGCAACAGCCTCTGGGCCTCCACAAACGAGGGGTCCCCACAATAGAGACTTCGGAAAAAAAATTCAAATTCAGACTAGTAAACAACTTTTCCTTTCATATTTTTTTCGCGTTTTACTTTAACATAAAGTACTTTATACAGTCATGATTACATTAAATATTAACAGAAATCTATAGAAAATAATGTGGTGCCTCCACTCCTTTGTTGCCCTGAGGCCTCCAGACTTCTAAATCAGGCCCTGGTCCGCGCCTGAGCTCGGAAACGTCAATGATATTAGCAGTAGGGTGACAACGAGGTTTTTTATGTAAGAAGGTGGCAAAACAGATGATGTTTCTCCTGATGTTAAGTGATAACCGCCGCATGGACATTTGCAAAACCTGTAAGGTTGTAGATACGTTGCCACCTTTTAATAAAGTTGGTCCCGGTATCACTCACCAGGCAAAATGCAGAAGTATAACACTTCCACTTCACGCCGGTCTTCTGTGAGGTCGTGGTACTCCCCAGGATGGACCTGCCCATTCACAGTTATATTATTTACTACAAATATATAAACAATCAGAAACTAGAAAAACGCTAGGTTTGTTACAAAATATTTTCCAGTATTGGTGACGGAGCCCACACTCTTTAGCTAAGATGATAGATTCACTATACACTATCTATGCAAATTGGTTTTTATTAATTGGCAATCGTTTTAATTAAAAAAAATATTCCAGATTCTCAGCTTTATAAAAGTTCCACTTGGGTGGTGTAAATGATTCATTGCGGTGGTGGATCTAATGTTTACATATGTCTGATATTTGTTCCAAGAGCAGAGGATGGTATAGGTCTGGTGGTACGAGTTTCTCTGCAGCATTTACAACCATAAACCGATATGCAGTCAGCACTAAATCTAAGAAATGCCATTAGCTTCCTTTTCTGTGAGTTGTAGCTTGTGTACCATTTGTGCTTGAGCCTTGGAGTCCATTATGGTTTTCTTGGGAAGAGGTTTTTTGCTTCAACAGGAATCGTTTCGACAGGGCTTCTTTCTTACTTGGTCTTGAGCAGGGATTTCTTCCTTGATGTTCTAGCTCGGGTTCACCACTTTGGGGAATACCTGGAGAAGAAAATGATCTTGATTCTTTGCAGTGTAGAATGACTTCTTTGAAAAACTTCCCAGTTATATACAAAAAAGCCTTAAAAATAAAAAATAAAACAATGGAAATACATATTATTATTCAACCTTAATTTTTGTAATAACGATATTATGTTCATGTTTTCATAGCGATGCAAAATGGTGTGTCCGATGGAAAATGGAACGAACGAACCAACGAAGTTATTCCCTCAGATTCTAAAATTAAGCAGTGTGGCCAACGTAGGCTGTTTGTCGCCATTTAGGCTACTCAGGACGATAATCGGCAATGAAAAAATCTGAGGCGACTGGTCGCCTGTTAGGTTACTTCAGAGGCTAGCTATTTAAATTAACCAACCAATCACAAAGGACCATATTCTTCTAATAAAAACTTCCTTAATTTGTGATATCAATAAAGAATTACGGCCACCATATAGGCTTATGGTTAGTTATTATCGGGGACTACGAGGAATTTTGGCCTTTATGTTACCAAATTGCAATGAAGTGTCATTTTGCTATTAATAGCAATTGTCTTTATTATAAAGCCCGATTTACAGTGTTGAAGTGTTTAGCGAAGTACATAAGGACAGTAAGTTAGTACAGTAGTGTTAAACATCGGACAGTAACGAGTCAAATTGGCTTGTAAGCTGCCTTGAAACTAGACCCAAATAAAATTTTTTGACGTTACTCGTCCATTTCAACTTAGAAATGCCACTGGACTTGCTGCATTATAAACACCACTGGCCACTGCTCTTGTACTCGCTACGCACCACCGTCCTTTACAAATAGTTCGGAAAATTTCAGTTATTATTGTCACTTTTGCTGTAAATATATCCTGTGTATGTTTGTGCTAAGTAATTTGATAGGCAATTTTTCTTGTCATTAGAATATGGGAAATTAATTGAAGTTTAATTATTGCGACCAATGGGAAAAATGTATGTCTCTCGCATCTCAAACTAAGCTTGCGCCTGTATTAGCACAACACCCACCACTGATGACGTTGACGGCGGAAATATTGTTGGTGCCTTATATATTGCTGGCAGACGAAGCAGGATCTAAATAATTTTTCGAAATTTTATGTAAGATTAATACCATCAAAGAAGCTTTTATGATTTTTATAGTAGGTGAAAATAAATTAACTTAAATTACGCTTATATATTATAGCAATATTTTGGTGTTGGGGCTAGTTTAGGCAGAAACTGAAATTCGGCTACAATAGGCTACTTATGCCGGAAAAATGGCGTCATCATGTTCTACATTGTCAGCAACACTGAAATTACGGAATGTCAATGTCAAAGTTCAAACGTCAGTCGAGGCTGTCGTATTAGATTAGAATTATTTGATCGGAAGAATTTTGTGTCTTTAAACTATTATATGTTTTTGATTTTTACTCTCTAATTGTTATGTTCTGAATAGTGAAAACCGTTAAATATTGCAAGATGAGGTCAACACTGTCAGAAGAAGAGAAAAACGAAATAATCAAGGATCTTAATATAAAAATTGGGGATAATATACTTAATTTAGCTGGTGCTTATGATATTGAAGTACATTTAGCGCAAAAGAAAGAACATTTGCAAAGTTGTGTACGTACACATTTAAATTAATTATCTTTAAATTATTGTGGAAAATGCAATTATATTTTATACTACAGATATGTTGTCTTCGAATAATTGGAATATTTCAAGTATAGTCCTAATAATTTAATTTGTGTAGGTTAGAAAACAAAGAAAGAAGCAGCAAATAAGTTTAAATAGGGACAAGAAAGGCAGATGCACTTCAAGACGTTTTTACATTTCCCTGAAATGACAAACACTTTTGGTTCTCCATTTTCTTATTGCTTTTATTATGCTATCCTTTTATACCATTCGAGAACGTAGTATTTGGTGGTTTTCAAGCATATGACATATCTATAGTATAAAATATCATTGGGAAATTGTAATCCTTTTATTAATTTATTACATACCTTGCAGCTGCACATTGCTAATGATAAAGTACCAACGCAACTTTCTACAGCGATTAAGAAGGCGGAAAAAAATTCTAAACAAATACAAAATCTGAAAACTAAAAGTGAGCAACTAAAAGAAAAAGTTGAAGATTTTATAAAAAGAAGTGAACCTCTAAAAATAGAACTTGATAAAAGATTTTCTGCAATCAGTAGACTCGAAGGGGTATTATTATACTTAAAAACCTTTGAAAAAATTGATGAACTATGGTAATATTTTAAACATTTGAAAATATTTATTTTTCTACTAAATAATCTTTATTCCAAACTAAGAATAATATATTATTTATTTTTATTGATGTATTGTATTATTTGTGATGTAAAAATATATGTTTCCGCAACTAATGGTTTTTATTTTAAATATTTAATAAAATTATTAAAAAGCACAAAGATTCTCTTTGTTTCTTGTTGTTAATGATAAGTTTATTTTTATGTTTACAGTCGGCAGATGAAACAATGCAGTGATGATGAACAATTAGTTCAACTTTATGGAGAGCTTAAGGCAATATGCAGTAAGAATCATAAAAGACATCAGGCTGCTTACATAAAGGAGTATACCCACTATTGGCATAATGTACTTAAGGACAATTTAACCAAGTAAGATGATGAATTATTTATTGAACTGTGGTAGGGCCATGCAACAGCGTTTCCTGTTGCAAAAATGGGCAGGTCCGTCCAGGTTCGTACCACAACCTCACAGAAGACCATTGTGCAGTAGAATAGTTATTTTATTGAAAGGTGCCAACACAACTGCAGCCCTATGGGTGTTGCAAGTGTCCATGGGTGGTGGTTATCACTTGACATCAGGTGAACCACCTGCTCATTTCCCACTTTGTCACATAAAAAAAATTGAAACCATATTAAGTTTAAATTTATATAGTTGATATAGTATATAGTGATGTTGATATAGTATAGTATAGTATAATTGGTACTTTAGTACTTATTTACTTTAAATTATGATTGATTTTTGTATGATATTTGGCTTTCAAAGAGTTATTTTGTTACTTCACCAAGCTATTTGACCTTCAACTGTCAAAGGTTTGGTTCACTGCACAAGGTGAATTGCCCTATTCGTAGATGTCAAAAGACACCACCAAGACGAAGCCCGAGAAACATTACTCCTGCACAAGTAATCTCATTAGCAGCGCTGCAAGGTTGGTTGACCGGCCCCTGAGGAACCAAAACTATATCTATCAAACGCGCTCTATATGCTTGGGGGCAGAGATAGACCAAGTATATCTCTGTACTGCCTCAAGGGTTAATATTCAGACAAGATGTTTATCAGAATAGAAGGGCTATGTGCAAGATTAAAATTGAATGGTGGTTCTTTAGGGATGTTGCTCGTATACACTTATAATACAGAGAGTTAGAAAGGTTCCTTGAGGAACTGAGGAACCTTTCTAACTCCGAGGGGGCCCATACTGCATATTGAAAAAAAAAGAGCATTCTAGTGGTTTGCGTGTAACACGATATCACCATGGTAGAAGCCGCCTAATCCATTCATTTGACTTAATACTCAAAACCCGTTCAAAAGTTTTCAATGGTAGCTGATTCTATACTGCGTACGACTTTACTGGCTAAGTATATAGAAGGTTAACCCAAACATATGGTCAACATTTGTTTGCAATGGCTTAACCCATTCCAAAGGCGTAATCAAATGAATGCGTTTTCCTTGCCCTGCTGGCATGTGAGTGCATACAGTTTCTAGAGCCTCATCAAATTCCATTTGTGACAATGTATAAGATCACCGCCGTAATTATCACTTTTGGGTTAGTTGAGGCTTTTCAAGATTTTTTTCGTCACACAAAATATTTCGAAAAGTTCAACTAGTATAAACAATATAAAGCTTTAAATTTATTTCAGATTTAACCATCTATATATGTTATTACAATGTTTCCTTAGTATATATTTTTAATTCCTCAGGCACTATGAAGATGTTTTAAAAGCGCTGAAATGGCCTTTCTCTTCATCCGAAAATTCAACCCCAGCAAAAGAAGTTCTGATGAAATTTACTAATATCACTCGTTACCTATTCTTAATACAAGAACCAGAAGATATAGTATCAAGTAACAGCTTAGAAGACTATAGCTTAGGTATATTTCATATTATATTTACTTTGATTAGTCATATAGACAATATCTAAGGCATTAAATGTTGACTTTACAAAATGTGAATCACATTGGTGTTGTCTAGGATATGCTAAAAGTATTGTAAATAAAAACTTCACTTGCAATTCCTTTTACATACTTACTACTTTAAATTGCACCTGCAGAGCAGAATGTCAGTCTGCCCGTGCGAATTCTGCTGCGCCCCATCAAGAAGAGGTTCATGTTCCACTTTACCGGGAGTCGTCAGACGGCGCGCATCGACCGACCCGAGTGGTTCCTGACGCAAACGCTCAACTGGATCAAGCACAACCGCACTTTCATCCACGACCACGTGCAGCCGGTCGCCGATAAGCTGGATGTAAAAGGGGCCAACACTGTGGTAAGCGATTTATTGTGTGGTGACTATTAGTACGGCGTAAATCTCTTAAGCCTATCTGCCCCCTCTCACTGAAATACTTTGTACCAATCTGCCTTTCTCGTCATGGGTTAAGGGAAAGCAGTGATAGTGTGAATTGTGAAGATGAAGGCGCGTTCTTCTGTTCAATCTAGCTGATTTTATACTTAAATAAGTGTGTATAATTGCATCAAAAAAAATATAACAAAAAGAACAAGACCGCAGAGTTTCTTGCCGGTTCTTCTCTGTGCAGGTCTAGTTTAGTGAACCGGTGGTAGATTTTTTTTGACGTTCAATAAGAGCTTAAGTTAGGCCAATATTGAATAAATATACTTTGACTTTGAATCATGCGCACCCCTTCCGGCTCATGATGATTACGATGATGATGATGAAACGATCGCTCGCGCAGGATGAGTTCAACAACGGTGTAGTGTCGCTGGCGGCGGAGCGACTGCACACGGTGCTGGGGCTGTACGTGAGCCAGGGCGCTAGGGGTGAGGTGGCCGACGCGGACGCGGCGTTCGCCCACGCGGTGGACGAGACGCTCGGCTTCCACAGGGAGCTGGTGGCCGTCGTGGGCCGCGAGTGCGGCGAGGTGGTGAGCGTGCTGACCAAGGCGGAGAACCTGGTCCGGTGGCTCGCCGTCGAGAAGAAGTGTGAGTGGCGCGCGCGGATCGGTTGATTAGTGTCGACTGTGGGAGAGCTAGGGATGGGACTGTTATTGGGCTGAGTCAAACCGGGGCTGTTACGTTTTGCTAATTCGGCTTATAGTTCGAAAAGCAAAATCATTACGTACCTCTCCATCAAATCGCATTTTAGGATTGTTTTTTTTTTTTTTAATTCTTTATTTCATTCCTCACTCGTGTCAATGCATCCAGAATCGCTGTCGACTGAGCTAAGCGGCAGATTTCAATGATTCCTAGCTCAATTGGCTTAAATTAAAAAATGCTTAAATTCAATCGCCAACCAAAGCAACACCTCTCGTTCAAATAGTTATTGTAAAATAAAGTTGCCCACTATGTGGCTCCAAGAATTGCTAAAAATGTTAAATAAAAAATATATTCTTGCCGCGACGTGAAAATATCGACCGCTAACCTCAGTTGCTAGAGCTTCTGGGCGCGTTTCCCCCAACATATTAAAATCCTGGCGGCGCCGAAAAAGCTCCCGTTGCGTTCGAATTCGATCTCTGATTAGACAGTCCGGTTGGCATTCCTTTGCAGACGCCCTGCTGAAGATGGACGAGGCGCTCGGCAGCGAGCAGTGGTGCGAGCCGGTGGTGTCCGGCGTGGGCGTGGCGGTGGGCGACGTGCTGTGGGTGCCCAGGGCGGCGGACTGGTTCGTCGCGCTGCTCAAGACCATTGAGGACCGCTACGCGACGCTGCCGCAGCCGGGCCACAGGTGCGCCGGTCTACTACTAATAGACGAAAATCAAGGGCAACGGACGTCTCGCCCAGTCACTCGCCAGTAGTCCCGTGCACATAGACATTAATCTCGCATAGACGTTAATCGCGCATTGAGGACTATATCAATGGTATTTTATACCAAAGATATTTTGTTAACGAAACCACAAACACACAAAGAAAGAGGCAACTAATAAGTTTAATAATGAGGAAGACGGATGCATCTTGATTTTTTTACACGTAAGCTAAAGTGACATAACACTTGACGTCCTCTTTTTTTAAACGACTTCCAAATACGAGGAAGTTCTCAATTCGACTATATTTTTTTATGTTTGTTACCTAATTTCGTATTGCTTTAATTACGCTATCCTTTTTAACCGACTTCACAATTCGACCGTATATTATATTTTTATTTTTTTTATGTGTATTCGGGGATAACTTCGTCATTTTGAACCGATTTTGATGATTCTTTTTTTTTTGTTGGAAAGGAGATATCCAAGGGTGGTACCATGATAAGGAAACCCAGATCTGATAATTGCATCCCAGAGAAATCGAGGGCAATCCTCAAATGTTATAGGCGTTGACAATGTTTTTTTAGTTTTCTTGTAGTTGTTTGAAGTCGGTTTTTTTTATCATCCGAACGTAACGTGAATGTGTGCTTTCACTCTGTATGGAAATAGGAACTCTTTCGACCGGTGATTTTGTATACGTATAAAATGTCTATAGTATAAAATATCATTGGACTAAGGTATCCCCTGCCTGTCGTAAAGGGCGACATAAAGGACACGTTAGGTTCATAGACTAACAGCAGTATGAAAGGGACTCGTGCTGTCGGTTTGATGAAGGTTTATCCTTTCCCGAGTGCCGATCCGTATGAGATCCCGGAGTTCCTCTAAAAAGTGGGCACCGAGACGGTTTTAATGGGTACGAATTCACAGAACCCTGTCATGTGAGGCATGTCAGGGTATATTTGGGTGATTTCCCCCCGATACAAAAAATGTCTAATGTCTTATGAATACCGATGCTAAAACGAGCCTAGACGAGCCTTTCATTACATTGATTTCTTTGTTTTTTCCCTTTTTCTTTCTGTGTTTCACCAGCCGATCTGTTTAAGCACCGCCATCCGCCGAACGTTACTATTTTATTTTATTTATTAATGAACAAAAACTCGTCGATGCGGGATTCAAACCGGCGTCTTCTCGTTTCGCGCCCACGAAAGACCATCCCTACTCGTGGTTCACCATCAGACAGTCCGCCGACTGCTCCGTAAAACCCAACGAAACCCTTCGTAGGTTGCAGTTTCTCGAGCTGCAGCTGGAGCTGGTCGAGGAGTGGCGCGTCCGGCTGACGCAGCTGATGGGCGCCGCAATGGACGCCCTGCAGCCGGAGACGTTCCTCACCAGCTCGGGGCCCCAGCCGCTGACGGCGGTCATCAACGCAGCCCACTACACCCGTGCGGTCCTGCTGCAATGGGCGCACTCGTTGGTCAGGACCTCTCGTTGAAGACTATACGGCCACAGCATGAAAGCATAATATTTTACACGCGAATTGCATTGTCCATGAGACCAGCAATGTTGAAGTATTATAGGTTACTTAAATTTGGAAGCTTAGAGCCGTGATAGCTCAGTGGCCGGGCGCTCGCCTATAATTCGGTGTATTCAAGCAACCTGAGTTCGATTCCCGGTGGCGGCACCAACGAAATTGTTCATTTTAAATCCTGACTTATCACGTGCTCAGCGATGAAGGAAAACTTCGTGAGGAAACCTGCACGTTTCATGTGGAGTACGTCGATCACAGTGGGGCCGCGTGGTGGACTATGTCCTGATACCTTCTGTACAGAGGAGGCCTTTGCTTGGCATTGGGATATTTACAGGCCGTTGCTTTACATTTGGAAGGGTTCTATAATGTAAATGTAGGGCCACGCAACACTGGAAGAGCGAAGAATGTTGCGTGGTGTTGATACGGCCGTCCGGGGAAGTACCACGACCTCGCAGAAGGCCGGCGTAACGTGGTAGTTACCTGTGCGTCTCATCTGGCGAGTGAGGTAACTCGGGCCTGCTTTATCAAAAGGTGGCAACGCATATGCGACCATACGGGTGTTGCATATATCATCACAAGCGACCCGCCCCGACTTCGCACGGGTGCAATGTATTATACATTTTTAGGAAGGTTTATAATGTATTATGCATATAAACCTTCCTCTTGAATCATTATCTAGTAAGAAAAAGCTTTAAGGTCCGTTGCGTGGTTTTAAAAATCTAAGCATACATAGGGACAGACAGACAGCGAGACGACTTGGTTTTATACTATGTAGTGATGATCTATATATCATTTAACATCAGGTGAATCGCCAGCCCCCTTGTCATCATACATAAAAAATAACCCAAAAAAACAAATCATTTAACAATCATAGATTAATAACGTACGTGATAACACCCCTTGTCGGTGTTTGAGACTATCCAAAGGGCAGTAGACCATAGAAAATCTCGATATTTACGTTTATGGTATTGGTCATCCAAAAGAAAGTATTCCAAGTATTAAATATTTGAATGTACGAATGTCTGTCCCGGATTCTAATATAAAAAAAAATCGTTTTTTGATGCAACTTCGATGTTGAATATTTTATATCGTTATTTTTTCGGCATCCCTATTATGAAAGTGGCGATATCAAGGAAATTTCTCATTTTATCTCACTTTAATCCCTCTCTTTGGCAGCACTACCTGCAATTGCACTTCTATCGGCGCCAGTTCGACAACTTCACACATCGGCAGCACAAGGACGAGGAGACTGAGATGGCGTCAAGCACCGGCGAAAGCGATGATTACGAGTACGCGTCCAAAACAGTAATGACAGAGGTGATACATTTGTTTATTTTAATAGATCATATTATACAAGTATACATTTTAATATATAATAATATTAACTGTGGTGGGGCCACGGAACAGTATTTACTGTTGCACGAATGGGCAGGTCCATCCGGGTAAGTGCCATGACCGCACAGAGCGTTAACGACACCTTTTATAGTTCAAACGAAGCAACGCTTGTACTATGGGTGCTAGATAACTGATAAACATACTTTTCTTTTGTAAATAAATATTATAAATATTTACACATCCGGCCACTGGCAGTAGTAGGGATCGAGTCCACAAACTCACCTTCTGGTGCAAGAGGCAGGTTCACTCACCATTAGGCCAATCCGTACATGTAGTCGCTAACTTAGTATTTACAATATCTTATTCAATTTAAACGTTTAAAGTACTAAAATATATTACATTGACATGATATTATATTTGTTCGCAGATGAGGAATTGTACGAGAACATGTCCAGGTCCATAGACGATCTGGAGATGAAGTCGCAAATGATGGCGATGCGCGAGGTGTGCCGAAAGTGCTCACTTCAAATTCAACCATCTGATGTGGTGAGTGTCGCTTGAATTTGCAATTTGGTCTTGTGGATCTATGGTTGCCATAAATTATTTTTTTTTATGTTAAAAGTTGCCAAGCCAGCAGACGGTTCACCTGATGTTAAGTGAATAATGCCGCCCATTGACATCTGCTACACCCGAGGGTAACAGATGCGTTGACAACCTTTTGAAAATTGGGCTCCGGCCACCTCACTCACCAGACGAAACGCGAAAGTATTATACCTACTTCCACTTTACGCCGGTCTTCTATGAGGTCGTGGTACTTACCCGGAGGAGCCTGCCCATTCGTGCAACAGCCGAGGCTGCTGCGTGGCCCTACCACCGATTTTTTTTTTAATTTTTTTTTATTATTACATTTGCCACAACTCACATTATTATTAAAAACAAGCATAGATTTCAGTATAGAACGAATACTGAGCATCATATTTAATATTTTATGTAATGTTATATTTATAATATCTTATTACTCCCTACTCATTAATATACTTTAATAACATTTGGTTTACAAGATTTCAATTAGTGGAAGGAAATAATTGCCGATAAAAAAAAAAAAAAACACTGTTCACTTTAAGTAAAAACTATGCCTCTGAACCGCCACCACCCGGTCCATTGGTGGAAGATTACATTTAGCTAGCCAATAGGAGGATATCTTGAGAAGTGATCATCGTCAACATAAGATTTGAGCAGCCAATGGTAGTTTCCAATTTCAACAAACGCAAAAAAGCTTGAAAATGTTGTAAGCTCAGGTAAATTTTATTTTCAGTGCGAGTTAATAATTTTTATAATAATAAATTAACTTTCCTCTGCTCATCGTTTTGTCGAAAATTTTTTTGAAACGATCACTCTTGTCCGTTTGGCACTTCAAACTCAAATCATCATCTTTTCACTCTGTTAGAGCGAGAATACACGGTTGGAAAGAGATACGGAAATAGCTTCAGCTTGTAATTTGACGGCTAATTTAGAAGGTGGGGTAGGTGGACTTCAAAGATTTGTTAATTTATAACAATATTTTATTCGCCTTACTTCCGCTCACAACAGCTGAATTATTGTGCGTTCACTAGCCTGACTTGGGTAAGACGGTCCAGGAACTTTTCTCCGTAGATTTTATAAGCGGTTGAAGACACGGTGTTTGGATAGTTCGGGTAGTTCGGCTGAATTATTCTGGACGGCAGTCTAATAGACGGGCTATTAAATAGGGTAGGTGGATCCTTGAAGCCCGATGAAGGCAAGCATTAGGTTAGCTTGCAACGGCGCTGGAAAAACCCTATTCGAGCTCAGTGTCCCCTTTTATAAAAGTCCCAGCAAGAAAAATATTACGAACAGAACAGTTACAATATGTATACAGGTAAATAAAATTTGAGTGTCTGAGTGTTTATTAAAATAACCGATTTTTACTAAATGCATATGGATACATCCACGGTACAACTATACAGATAAATAAAATTAGGGTGTCTGCTTGTAATAATATTAAAATAACCGCTTTTTACTAAATGCATATGGATATATACACGGTACATATGCCAAAATAACATTTTTTACAATTTTAGTCTGTCTGTCTGTTTGTTCCGGCTAATCTCTGAAACGGCTGGACTGACTTTGACGGGACTTTTACTGGCAGATAGCTGATGTGATAAGGAGTAACTTAGGCTACTTTTATTTTAGAAATTTAATTTATTCTCATTTCCACTCGGACGAAGTCGCGGGCACAGCTAGTTATAAAAATATATATACACTATGTCTATATATTTTTATATATGTATGAAAGCGGGGAAACCGAAACGTTATTTTTAAGAATAGTGACGTAGCGTCGCTGTCGTCACAACTAATTTCATCTAATTAATTTAAATTAGTAATAGCCACAACAATCGAACAATTTTATTTAGTTTCACAAAACATGAAAGTAACCATTTATCTACACAACTTTAAACACTGGAAAATCACAACACTTATTAAGGCTAATAATCGTTATAACAGAAATACAGAATACTTAACATAAGAATTGAGATGTCTACACCGGTCCAAGGCTGGAGCGAAAGTGCCCAACCTTCTTTTTCTCAGTTCTTACAAAACCCACGAATTAAGACGACTAGCGCCCTCTGGACGCTATCTCTTAATCTCACGGAAGTTGTGGATTTTGTAGAAACTTTACAAAACAATCGGACTCGGTGTATTTGCATGTTCTTTACAAGATTAATAATTATTTAAATAATGAGAATTATAACAATGATAATTGTTTTTCGAAACCACACATTTAGTTAAGCGGATGTTTAGAATTTTAAAAATAAACTTGTAAGAACATTTCTAATTTATTAAAAAGATTACTCTTGGTGAAAATTAGTCATTTAAATCATAAGTTTTTATTACATTGATAATTATTTATTTGGAAGAAGGTTATAAGAATAACTTTATCATTTAAAAAGTGAAAGGACTTCCGGATCACTTTTTAATTACAAGAAACGTTGAAGTGATTATTTTTATAAGCAAAACTAATTATTTATCAGATAAACAAAAATGATTGAAAGAGAATACAATTTAAAATGATTATTATAATATTTTATGAAATTAATAAAACGATGATACTAATAAAATGATCGAGTGACGTTTTCGCGCCGACATGTATAAATCACTATAACTTCAAAAATACTATTGGCGACTTACAGAAGTCACCGTTGGCTGAGAACCCCTCTGTGCCGGGCGAGCGTGCGGAGGAGGGGGGCGTGTTCTCGGAAGCGCCCGAGTTGCTGGCGCTGCTCTGCGACGCTGGCCTGGCCGCACTGGCGGAACACATCCTGTTGGAGTTCAAGGCCACCATACGAGACTACAAGAGGCTCAAGTGAGTACCGCCACGATACATTCCAGCCCCCAAATCAGGTAGCGGCTGTAGGGATTACCCCATCAATCATCGAAAATCCCCCTCAATAATCAAGAGGAAAGAAGCGCTTTACAAAGAAATAAAATCAATACAGACTGAGTTTTTAAATAACACCGCTTTTGCGCTCGACGGTTCGTTCGGAGAATCGTGTACTATCTCACCCACGTACACTCGGCGCACAGCGTCGTTATTCAGTCCATTGCCCACTGGATAGTTTTTGAGTTACTCCACTTTTGCGCTCGACGGTACATCCGAAGAGTCGTGAACTAGCTTCGCCCACGTACCATAATCGGCGAACTGCCTAGTTATTCAGTACATTGGCCAGAGTAGACAGTTTGCGAGGTACTCCACTTCTGCGCTCGACGGTACATCCGAAGAGTCGTGAACTAACTTCGCCCACGTACCTACACTCGGCGCACTACGTCGTTATTCAGTCCATTGGCCACTTAGCCAGATAGTTTGTTAGGTTGCACTTTTGCGCTCGACGGTACATCCGAAGAGTCGTGAACTAGCTTCGCCCACGTACCATAATCGGCGAACTGCCTAGTTATTCAGTACATTGGCCAGTAGACAGTTTGCGAGGTACTCCACTTCTGCGCTCGACGGTACATCCGAAGAGTCGTGAACTAACTTCGCCCACGTACTTACACTCGGCGCACTACGTCGTTATTCAGTCCATTGGCCACTTAGCCAGATAGTTTGCGAGGTTGCACTTTTGCGCTCGACGGTACATCCGAAGAGTCGTGAACTAGCTTCGCCCACGTACCATAATCGGCGAACTGCCTAGTTATTCAGTACATTGGCCAGTAGACAGTTTGCGAGGTACTCCACTTCTGCGCTCGACGGTATATCCGAAGAGTCGTGAACTAACGTCGCCCACGGACCTACACTCGGCGCACTACGTCGTTATTCAGTCCATTGGCCACTTAGCCAGATAGTTTGCGAGGTTGCACTTCTGCGCTCGACGGTACGTCCGAAGAGGCCGTGTACGGTCGCTAACAGCGGCGCCGCACCGCCAGGTGGCACGCGATGCCGATGGTGGAGGAGATGGCGCTGACCGTGTCGGGCGCGCTGTGCGGCCCGCTGTCCGCTCTGTGCGCGCGCATCTCCGCGGCGACGGCGCGCCTGGCGCCCGCGCTGGCGGCCAGAGTGCGCGCACACGTGGCCACCGACCTCGACCACTACATGCTCCAGGTGCCATATTGATTCAGTCATGTTACACACCTATCAGCGTTTGTCGCTGTTACTCCCAGTGGCGGGTTAAGCAAGTGCGGGGCCCGTAGCAAATCATTTAACAGCCCTTGATCTGCTGTATGGGTTCGCAAGTATAAATTGGTAAAAAAACAATTCAATACTCTTACTTGTTTAATAAGTTTCACTCAAAAAAGTAAGCAGGCAGAGATGATTGGGTTTAAATATGTGGGGCCCCCTTTGGTTCGGAGCCCGTAGTAATTGCTACTTTAGCTACGTGGTTAATCCAGCACTGGTTACTCCATACATATAATAAATATTCTTTCCTATTAATATGACACTAGCGGACCCTACAGACGTTGTCCTGTACACACGTCTTAAATCCGACTACGACTTATAAATAAAAAAATTATTTAAAGCACTGTAGTGGACCGAATTGTAAACTAAATTTATTGTTATATCTCTTAGAGCATATAAACAATTTCGAATAATAGTATAACGATAATTCAAACGAAAGATGTCGCCATTGCTATTTGAAATTTTAAACTTACTTTAAATCTCGGCACTTACTCGGCGATTATTGATAACTGATCTATATAAATAGAAAAGTAATAACAATAATTAAAATTAATTTAAAAAAAAATAACAATCATTGAATAATAACAAAAGCGGATCGGTCTCTCCTTGATTTCCCAGGAGATGGTGCTGGAGACTTGGTTCAACACGGGCGGCACTCTTCAGTTCACGCACGACGTCAAGCGGAACCTCGTTCCGGCCTTCACGCCGCCCAATAAGAGCGCATCGAAAAAGAACCTCTTTCCAAAGTAAGTCATTAGTTGGCTACAATACAAAATATACGCGTAACTAATGCTTTGGATCTCTTATTAAGATGGTTCGCACGGACGGTTGAGTCTGTCGTCGAAAAGCTGCATAGTGTAGTTTATCTTCTCACGCATTCACCAGCTTACTACCGAAGTAAAGCGTGGGTAAAGAAGTTTTACTTCAATAATAAATTAAATATGTATATAAATATAATATCTTAGTTGTCTATGCAAGACTTAAATATGTATGCATAAAGTAGTAAGGTAATTTTTATATAAATATATATATCCTATTGCTGGTTAAAGGCCTACTCTGAAGAGGGCCATCAGGCCATAGTCCACCACGCGGGTTTACTGCAGATTGGCGTACTTTACATATCCCCGGTTTTTATTTGTCACTTGGAAAATGGGTTTCAGAGAAAATAGAAAACAGGTTTCTTAACCTTGTTTTCTTCGACCACGATTGCGGTAGTAGGCGAACCGCCAGCCGGCTTGCTGCATGCTTCTCACTTAAAAAAAAACTTTCCCCGCTTTAGACTCGCGGAGGCGTGCAACCTGCTGAACATGGACTACGAGGACGCGCGACGTTTGCACCAGCTGCTCTCTAAGGAGGCCTCCCTGGGGCCCGACAGCCTCGCCACGATGGGCGTCAGCCACATCCAGCCGAGCGAGGTTCTCAGGATCCTGAGCCAGAGGACGGACCTCGGCGACTCCTCGACCCCCTCCTCCGTGATGGAGCTGTTCTGAAACTACGAAGGGGGAGGCGTCTAAGCGATCGATACTACCGTCACCCATTGAGCGCACTTTTTTTTTCTACCAGATCGTCCATTTCACTTTGATTTGTTCTGTTTATTGAGTGTTTTTTTTTTTTTTCGCGAATATGTTAACAAGGCGATTTCAATTCCTTGGAGACATAAGAAATTGAAATCGCCTTGTTAACACTTGATTTGTTGTGATGCAAAACGGTTTTCATTTGTCTTTCTAAAGTTCGGTGTTGTGTTGCTATGATAGTCTCACCAGTATCAAAGTAGTATCAAAGTCCAAGTCAAAGGCAAAATTTCTTTCTTCAATGTAGCCTTATTTTAAGCTCATATTGAACGTCAAAAAACTACCACCAATTCCCTAAACTAGACCCTATCCAGAGAAGAATTCTTGCTAACATTTCCCACAGAACGCAACCCCATTTTACCAATATGGAATAAAATGTTTTTCAAACATATACCTTTATTCAAACTATGAGCAACCATGCTAAAACCATTTACAAATATAAATTTAGATTTTTCTCTAATAAAATGTAGATGAATATATGTGTTTCCTATGTGTTTAGTTTTTGGTTCATAACAGTCTGTTTATCTCTGTTTTTAATGATGTTTTTAGTATCTGGATCAAGTATTTGATATTCCTTGGTAGATTCGCAATAGTCGAAAAATAATCATTTTCTGGATTTGGAGGCCCGTTTTAGGCGTTTTTCTTTTGGTACTTCTTTCTTTGGTACTTCTGTTATTACTAACGTAACCATTTATTTTTTTGCCAGAGCGGGACATCTGCGCAATTAAATAATAAAAAAGTATTTAGTGTTTAACAATTTTTTTAGTATAGAAGATAGAATAACACAAAACAATCAAAGCCCTAAATTATTGATTGTGTTCGGATATAGGTATCCGACGCGTTGTGACCTTCGGGACCATCGCCATTGATCGGGCTGAAACTCGGCTGGCAGAAGGCCAACCGGTGGTGACTCCTTCTGAAATAGAAAGAATACTATCCCCCATCGCGGCCGCGGTGTTAGAAGGGGAGACATGTTAGTAATATGAAACTAAACTACGTATGAAGGGACGGATGGGACTCTACCTACGGGGTCTAGGATAAGGAAAAGGTGTGGGACCTACCTACTTGGGCTAGGATTGAGTGGTAGGGGTGGGGGGACCGATCCTAGCGGTTGCTCAGGCTCCCCCTGAGCCTGAGTTCTCAGCAGATCTCGTGGGAGTGGGCGCTCGTCCGGGGGCGAGCGTGTAGCGGGGCCAAATTATGTAGATGCGGGTGTGGCCCGTTGTCCGTGCGGTCGATCATACCACGCGCTAATCAAGCCACGAATTCCGAAATGGATTCAATTATGAAATTCATTCCTGACGTATCGCCCAGCTCCCGCGATCGCACGCTGCGAGAGGTCGTGCCCCACAATAGCAAATAGCTCTCGGCGCTGCTCCGTCCAGGCTGAGCACTCCTCCAATGCGTATTGCGGCGTCTCCTCGGCACAAACGTCACAGTGGTGGCATTCCGCTGTGGGCGCCACGCGAAACAGGTACCTCCCGAAACAAACATGTCCCGAAAGGATCTGCGTCTCACGGTACGTGAGGATGCCGTGTCGCCTGACCAGCCACCTCCCGAGAACAGGACGTATGGCCTCTACGGTTCTTAGGCTGGCATTGGGGTGCTCCAGCCTCTGCTCTCACTCCCCGATGGCGTTTAAGCGCAGGCGTCTCTGGGCTCCCCCAGCTTCTCCGGGGCTGGCATATGGCCCTGGGATTTTCTCTGGGTCTCGGATTTTGTCTGGGTCAGCCCAAACGGGAGCTCCATGGAACCGGAGCGTTTCCCTAATGCAAGCCCAGGGCAGAGTGTTAAAGGCGTTGGCGACTACAAGAGACACCACCAAGACGACTCCGCCCCGGGAAACTGCTTCCTGCGCGAGAAACCTAACTTGCAACACCGCGTGGATGGTTCACCGACCCTTGCGGAACCCGAACTGCCTCCGCCAGATTCGGACCAATGTTCTCCAAGTGCTTGACGATGCAGCCAGCCACAACACTTTTAAAGACCTTCTCCACATCATCGAGTAACACTATCGGTCTATAGGTGGAGGGTGAGTCCATGGGTCGGCCCTCCTTCCGGATGAGGACGAGTCTGTCTGTCTTCCACCTCTGTGGATTATGGCTTGGGTCTCCAGGGCATCCCCCCAGGCTAAGGCCCAAGCTCGTCCCGGGATATCGTTGGGACCTAGCGCGGCGCTTTTTACTTTCATAGTAAGGACGGCAGCGCCGAACTCTCCCGGGGTCTCCTCAGGCACATCCAGGCTCTGATCGGTCACCTACGTGCCGGGTCGGACCATCGTGGGTGGCGTGTGCTTCTCCCGCTGTGGAAATAAAGCCGCGGCGATCACCGTTACCAGTTATGGGTGCAGGCTCTGTGTTAGTGGTCCCCGCACCCAGAGGCGAAGCTTGTTCATCACCATACTGTAATGCCTCCCACATGGATCACGATTGAGTGCAGCCAAAACCTGCTCCCTAGCAACGGCAATCGCCGAGTCTATAGCCACCTGTAATGCCATCTTGGCTTGTCGAGGGGTACAGCTCGGTTTCCAGGGCTAAGCCCGAGGGCCTATACGGGACCGGTACACCCGATGCCGCCTTCGACCTCGATCGGGTGTACCGGCGTCTTGTTGCTAGATACGCAATTTCCGCAAACCACCAGTACACCTGACGCTTGGGAGGAAGTTTTCTGGAACGGGACATAGACGCATCAGACACCCGCGTCATCACTTCCTGGAACCATTCCACCTCCTCCTCGACGTCCAAATGCCTAAGCGCAGACTCCCAAAACTGGACGTTTGCCGCCTCCTTCTGGACTTCTCGGTCCAGGCTTCTGAGCTGCCATTTTCCCTAGCCGGTCGGCTCGAGCTAGTCAAGGGATCTGGTAGAGCGGAGACGTCGAATCTGATATAACGGTGATTTTTTAGAATCTCTACGCCAAGAACCAATTTCCAGCATGCGCTAGCCTGGGCTTGCGAACGAAACGTCCACGACTGGGTCGTAACCCACGACCGCACGCACGTGTTCACTGAGCCTCGGTTTAGGATAGACAGGCTGACCTTGAGGAGCCATTCCTCCAGCACCCTACCACGCACGTCTGTTATGGGCGATCCCCGCTCCGCAGATTTGGCATTGAGATCCCCAGCAACTAGCACAGGGTAGGGATTCAACTGGCGGAGCATTGACCCCAGTCGGTCTAGGTAGCTCTCGCACACGGCCAGCGTTCTGAGAAATGATTTGACAATGATGGAGATGTGATGAGAAATGATTTGACAAACAATCTCTTCGAACAGAGACGAAGCCTGAACCTTTCCATATATTGCTGGGAGAAGGAGAACCTGCAGCGGTTCTGCAAATTACAGTTGCTGTGCCAGAATGATCCCCAGCCCAATTTTTGGTAGGGGGGACGAAGTACGGTTCCGACACCAGGGCCAGTATCAACCACTGCCATGCTCTGGACTAAAAGATCCTGAACCCTGGTACAGGGGATGAGGTTCGCTTGCAATAAAATAAAATTGGCCATTCACTACTCAATGGTCATTGGAATCCTCCTCCCGGGCCAAAAAGGGGTTAGAGCGAGATGATGCCGACCGGGTAAAGATCCCATCGGCACCGTTTCTGCGTTTCCTGTTTTCTGTTTTGGAAGAGGAGCAAGCCTTGCTTCCTAGCTTATGGCCTGCAGGGTTGTTTGATGTAGCACACACTAAGCAGTGTGGCGCTGCACACCATTGGCCGGAAAGTTGGTCCGTTGGACCACAACGGTAGCATGCGCTACTACTATCGACTTCTGCTATCCATCCCGGACATGGCCATGGTTGCATTAGTCTGGCCCGCACCGACGACCACCCAATGAGGAGACGACCGGCCTTTATTACTTTGTCGGCTGCACCCAGGGCAAGTCACCAGTCTTTACCTGTCTCGACGAATTTCTCCCGTCTTGATAGAAGAAGCTAGGCACACGCCGACTCGCGTTAAGGCCGCACCTACCTCCATTAACTGCAGAGTCATCCAGGCTGGATATACGTAGATCCGCACGTTTCTCTCTATGGCCTGGAGACCACGGCTACATCTTCGTTTATAACCCGGCGCAATTTTTCGGCAAGCAAGTTGGCCATGTCGCTACTGGAGGCTCCCAGCACTTCCATAATCCTCGCCCCCGTTAAGGGTTTCCTGAATCAGATGACTTGGATACCTAAACTTTCCTGGTCCATCGCTTCTTTCGCCTCTTTTAAGATGCCAGCGTAGGTGACTCCTTTGGCCAGTTCTTTCGTTCGTTGTAATTCGTCACAGCCTTTATCTCTAAAAATCGTATTACAGCCACTTTTCCAAGTCAAGGCTCATGTACAACCCGCTGTCATAAAAAGCCTGAACAAACTTCACACTACTCCAAACTCTCCCAGAATTGTTTACATGTACTTCTTTGCACTTTGAACATGTACGTAATTGATTGTGTCCAGTAACAAAATGAATTTATATTTTTCCTTGATTTCTTTCATTTCGTCTATATTGGTTCCTGTAACACAACTCCATAAATCTTCGAGTTCAAAATATGCTTGAATTGCGAAGTACCAACTTGCATAGTTATCTCTGTATGTTTCATCTTTCCTTTTAACTTTAAACATTAACGGTGGTAGTTCCACGCAGCAGCCTCGGCTGTTGCACGAATGGGCTAGCTCGTCCGGGTCAGTACCACAACCGGCGTAAAGTGGGAGTATGATACTTTCCCGTTTCGTCTGGTGAGTGAGATAGCCGAAGCCCAATTTTCAAAAGGTTGTCAACGCATCTACAACCCACAGGTGTAGCGGATGTCCATGGACGGCGGTATTCGCTTAACATCAGGTGAACAGGTTTCACATAAAAAAAAACAATAGTGAATTGTCATCCGCAAAAAAACTAAACAAAAAGCATAAAACTGTTCTGGAAATATTATCCGTCCATTTGGCACAGGCAGTCGACACAGCTGGCATATGTAGTCATGAACGAATTTTTATTGTACTAAACAATCATGTTTGTCTTGTAAAAGCAGTTTAACCAAAAATCTTGCTACTGCTACTAGTAGCTAGCTGTTGGTGATCTTGGATATATAGTGTAAAAAAAAATCGTCCCGCTGTCTGTTCCGGATCTTGATGCGTTTTTTTACTAGATAGAGTGATTCAAGAGGAAGGTTTATATGTATAATACATTGCACCCATGCGAAGCCGGGGCGGGTGGCTATTTTATTTATATACCATGATATGTTCTGCCACCCCCAAACCGTCTATGCCACGACCTGTTGTCTGATCTACCAAAATCATACGCAGATCTTTCAACGATATTGGTTCTTCTGAGCCAATGATATCATGAATTTCTCAGTGATGCCCCATACACTGAATAAAGCCACTCGAAAAATGCTCGAAATTAAGTATTCTGTAATTTCACTGAGATTGCCTGGGACATGTGGGCGGGCCTCTTTCCCCTATTCCAGGTGTACTGGTGTTCAGAAAGGTAAATTTCAACAAACCATAGACGATCAAGCAAGTTTTTTGTATCCTAAACATAGTAGACAAAGAATTAGATCTAGGTAATCTAATTCTATATAATTATTGTTTCTATCTAAATAATTGTTTCTTCAATAAAACACTCTGTTTTAGAAAGACACGGTAATGATAGGACGTTTTGTAGCAAATATTGATTTATGATCATTAAACAAAATTTAATTTGAACTTTATAAGTAATTGTTTCTACAAGTGCTGCTCTGTTTGGTGATTGGAAGAAATTGAGCCTCCCTCTTATAGTAATATAACAGATCGCATATCCCTACATATTTAAATAAACATTACTTTAATTTATTACTAGCATCGTGAGTACTCTGGTATGTACTCTGACCCTGAGAAAGAAACATTTATAAAATATTAATAAGAAATCAAGTAAAAAAGTCGTTCGTGTTTTTACTTCCTTTTTGTACTTTTTGTTCTTACTCATTTATCATGACTTATAAATGGAAAATGGCATTTTATTAACGAAATAGGTGCTTGTTGTGTTTTTAGATTTTTATTTTGTCGTCGGAGTTTATTGTTTTTTAATTTTAATTTTTCTTATTAAAAATAAAAAGTCACTTTACCTTATTTATTTTTGTTTATATTTAACAAAAAAAAGATGTTACTACACACAATACAGTGTTACTCCATAAAACATAACCTAATATATCAATTATAAAATAATTAAAAATAAATACTACAGCGCAAAAATGCTTTTTTTTTAGTATTCAACATCATTTGTAACATTTAAAAAAAATCATACAGACATTTTAATGGCACAAACGCACTCTGAAACAAAAGTATCACTTAAACATAGTTTGTTCACAGCCTTTATGTTTGTTTTAAAAATGTGAACAAAATAAAATGTGCAAAGTCTTAAGAAATACTCAAAAACCAACAATATTTACAAATGCAAATTGTTATTAACCCAAAAACAGGAAGAGTTTATTTAGCTCACCTCTTGGCAAACCTCATGATTTTCAATACAGCGTGTCGTTACCATCGCGACAATAAAGGAACACACGTCTAACGCTACTTGCCAATAATCATAAAAAATTATTAACGTTAAAAAAATCCATAATTAAAAAAAATATTTTTTCAAACAAACTAATTAAGTAAAAAAGAAACAAAATTTGTAACATCCTATACAACTACAACTGACTTTTTCATTCGTTGCCACAGCGCCGCATTACAGGCCTCTCCTTCTAACAGTATGTTTTGACTCTTTTAAATTCATTCAACCCATTCATATGCTTTGTGACCTTTACAAATGAACTTTACGTTACAGTTTTATACGTAAGGGTGTTGTAAAATTCTTTGTTTTGGAAAATTTTATAACTCTGGTAACTCGGTATTGATGTTTAAAGAATTTAAATGTTTAATACAATTTTAAAAAGTTATCCTCTATATGTGTGTTCATTTATTGTCGCGATGGTAAAGACACGCTGTATAATAACATAAACAAAAATTGTTACAGTGAAAGTGTTGTTGCCCTGATAACATGTTAAAACTGTCAAGCTTATAAATTATAGTCAGACATAAATATTATATTTAATTTTACTACAAACGCAATCAGAATAATATTTTGTTTGTTATCATTACACAACAAAACGTAAAATTAATCAATTATCTATAGCTATCACATAGCACTGGCAGCTCGAATAGATTTAAGGAATTATCGCCACGAAAAAATTCATCAATTTTGACCTCGCTTTACAAGATTGCCTGTGTAATAAAAGCTACAGTTACGTAATATTTCTTAAGCCGGCCGAATTTTTCTAGTACAAAATAGATTTGACAGTCACTTATACGATTAGATATACGAGTTTGATCGTTGCAACACTTGTCAAAGAGTGCTTCAATTTCTGCGTCTAATCAAAATGGGCCTAAACGAGTTTTACTATCAAAGTTTACTCAAATAGAATTTTACTGATCTTACTCGGGTCAGTTGTAAAATCTATCGCATCTACCATATTTAGGTGTGACTTTTTGAACATACGTTAATGTCAAAAAAGTACAATTCCATCAAAGTCGGAAATATATCCGAGTTAACTTGCATCTTGTCGAAGCGGTTTACCCGGAACGGTGATAACACTAAATTTTTAGAAATAAAGCAGTAAAAATAATACATTTACGGCAGTTCTAGGATGCTTTTAGTCGCAACTTTTGTGTAGTTAATCGTCTCCCAGTGCGAACTAGTAAACGAGAGCACTAACAGACCGATCTCCATGTAAAAGCATTACTTGATTACAATCTAATATCTGTGTTTACGGTGTGTGTTGTGGAGATTTCAATCTCCTGTTGCTTCCTGTTATCTTGGGAGGTTTTGTTCCACCATTGCTCATCTCCGGAAGCCCAAGCGACGAAAACCAAGTTTGTGACGATGAAAACGGCGAGCGTTATCCAAAACACCAGTCTCCATTGTACTAGAGTACTCTGCAATCGAAAATATAGTTATTATTCAAACTATACGGTTATCCTTTAAATGGCGACCTAGAATAAAAGTCTTAATAGGTATAGCAAGTCAAGCTATATGCCTCATGTCATGGAATAAAACTAGTCTGGAAGTCTCATTTACATTAGAGCTACGAGCACTAAAAGTGGTTAGCAAAAAGATGGAATTTGACTAGCTCTTTGGAAATAATTATGTTTATCATAACTATTTTGCGATAAAAAATAAGTACATTATGTATTACAATCAAAGTAATCAGAGTTTCGGACACTCCACTGCACGATGGAATCGACAATTAGTGGGTGTGCCAAGCTTTATTTATATGATACAAAATATTTATAAACTGTTTTCTGAAGTGACATTTCAAAAGATTAGATGGATGTATCGACAACATGAACAAATGTTATTCGATTTGTATCAACGTAATGAAAGTTATCAGTACCTAACCTTTTGATGATTTATTTTCTTTATTAATACCGTATAAGAGGATTTCGTACGTTTCTTAACAAAAAAATATTTTCTAAGCAGTTTTAATTTTTATCAGCCACGGTACATTAAAATCGATGAAAACAAACGCAAGAGAGGTAGCTAAAAGTTATATAGGCATAATTAAAACATGATAACTTGGGCGTAATAATATTGTAACCGAATAAGAACGCTGACAGGAGATACAGAGACCTACAGCAAAACAAGTTGCACGAATGTCAATTAGTCGTAAACGTACTCATCAAACCTCGAACTTCATTCCGTTTGTTATTTTTTGGATTATATACATGTAATAGCGCGAAAGAAATACAAAAACAGGGATTGGACCCGCGAATTCGATAGCAAATCAAATTATAACACATTTATTTAACTCTTCAAAGAATTAATTTAAAGGTTGGAATAAAATAAACGGAATTATGTAATAATAATATCCGTTATGCATTGCAGTCGCCTGAATTAAAGCTGTAGTAGCCTAGTAACTTGAAACATCAACTCTGAGGTCGTCACTTCGTATTTTAGTCGTCGGTAGCACCAGTCAGATAATAGCTACCGATCGAGCCGAGGTCCGGCCCTCTCGGGCACCCTCGAATCGGAATGCTAAACGCGTGTTGAGTGACAGCCCAAGCCGAGGTCCCCCCTCGGGAACCCTTGAGCCTGATCACTCCATGAAGCGCCCGCCAAAGCGCCCTAAGAGCTTGGCGGCCTCCCAAACCGGTAATAATAATAGGGTGACGGCCCGAGCCGAGGCTCCCCCGGGAGCCCTCGAGCTTAGTCACCATAACGCGTAATAATAGTACGCCGAGGTTCAGGCTAGGCGCCTCGTGCGCCAGGCCACCTCAAGTCCGTCGGATCTGTAAAGGCCCCTAAGGCCAACAGTGGCTCATCCAGCCCAAAAAAAAAAAAATCGTCGGTAGCTATTAGTTTTTTGGGTTACATTTGTACCTGGTATACGGCGACACGCTTATCTCTTCACTTTTCGTACGTTAAAGTCTTGGCGAAATATAATAGTGAATTCTCAGTCTACCTCCTCTGTTAAAATACTCTGTAAATTACTTGCTGTATCATTAAACAAAGAAAAGAATGTTTAGAGTAATTATAAATTACTAAAGCGTCTTCAATCTGATAACATCATATTTTTTTTTAAAACAACACTATCTCACTTAGTGTGGCCTTTTTTGAAGGCAAAAGTAATATTGCTGCGTTTATAATTATCAGGTGAGCCTTGCACAAAGTGCTTGCATGAGTTTCCTTTATTTATTGAAATCATCTTATTGTACCTCCTTAGCGTGCAAGTTCAATAATTGAAAGCATCTGTAATATTTAATCTGTGACGAAAGACAAAATAATGCACTGAGTTATCTACGTAAAAGTTCCCCTTTTCTATTTTTTTTTGTTACATGTTTATGGCTATAATAAACGTGAACAAGTAGTTAAACATATACAAAGGTATGTCTTTTGGCATATAAGGACTCGGTTTTCTTGATTTATCCTAATTTCTTTCGATCGATTCAACTAATTTAAATATTGTCTGATTCTTTTTAAGTGTATTCACGGATAATAATAATAATAGATATGATGATACATTACTAGATGTTTACAAATATGTAAAAAATTTGCGTCCGCATGTTTATATCCGCATACCCGAAAACTACCTGATGGATTGACTGGAGATTTTTCAACAGAAGTACCTACTTATTTTTATTTTTTGTGCTGTAAGTTCAGAGTCCAGATTAATTTAAGTTTACTTACATCGGGTGTCAGCAGCCCAACTAGGTATGGCGCGATGATGCCTGTTATGGCTCCGATGCCGTTCACGATCGCCATGATGGTTCCTGCGTAGTTGCTGCTGAGGTCCAGCGCGTTCACTTTCATTCCCGGGTAGAACGCGCCCATGAGGCCCATGGACGCCGTGAACAATATCACAACAGTCTCCGTGTTACAGCCCGAGTAAGAGGCTAGTATCATGCAGATCCCTGGACCGACGGACGCTGTACAAAGAGAATGAAACGTCAACAAGACGATAGTTAAACACATTTTTAGAGCAGAAATGATGACCCAATGGTGCAGTTGCTAAACTAGTGGCTTATAGGCTGTGAGTCGTGGGTTCGATTCCCATACGGGACAATGACAATATTTATGAGTTTCACAGTTATGGAAATTCATTCACAGTTATGGAATAGGGTTCACGTCGGTAGGCAGCTGGTTGTAAAAAAAACCTAGACCACATGAAATAATTAAGCCTCTTGTTTTTGCAGAGCATTTGCGCAAGTGTGTTACGAAGGCGAAAACATGACTACTAAATAGACTTACAAAATAACGAAACATTAATATACATTTTAACATGTTTCGAAGTGTGAAAACCAAGTAATACTTTATCAATGTTAAGTCTTCCTTATCGTTTAGCAATGGGTCCTTTACTCGGGATAACAACTATTTCTAATATCGAAAACAGACTGACATTATTTCCTTTCATTTGTTTTACAAATCAAAGATAAACAAATTCTAAGGGACGAACCATCAAATTATTTTTGAAATAATTAGAACTAATACAAATTATCAGGAAGTTTTGCAGTTTGAGTCTATTTATGGCGTTTAAAAGTCCCTCAAGTATTTCAGTGAAAGGTAAATTATAGTGACCCATAAAGAAAATAATCAGGAAAACTCTCAGGGTCTCTTGTAATTTGATAATTAAAGATAATCCCGCAACTGTATATATTTATAATTGGGGATTTAAAAAATTAAAGTAATAAGTCCTAAATCGGTTCGCGATTGAATCCTGATTAAACATTTTTCGATTTAATGGATAAAAAAGGTTGAAGATGTCGGTCGGATTGGCCCTTCGCCTTGGTTCTTATAATTAAACAGCGGGCAGAACGAAAGTTGTTCCCTACCGGTTAAAATGATCGACCGGTCTTTTAATCGATGATTTAATCATTCGTTTTTTATGAAAAGTTATGTGCTCCTAGTATTCTTATTTTGACTACTAACTAGGGTCCAAGTTGTCGTGTACGAGTCGTTCGTCTTATGACTTGACAATGCTTCTTAAAATCAAGCTCGTGTTGTTTTTTATCCTTAATGTTGGTTCCATTATTCACGCGTTGGAAAATAAATAAATTAAATGGATAATCTGAGAATATGTTCTCATGCCATTACTTTGACCGTGTTAACTTTAAAATGCAAGCAGGTACCTAATAACAAAGACAGTATTCTTTTTCTTTGATAACTAAATGGAATAAATTATTCGCAATGTACATCTGATTGCATCCCATTTCCAACGGTTGTTATTACATGTGCATATTGTTACAGCTATCTCTACGTAGGCACTAACATAGAACATGCCGGAACACATCACAGGAGCAACCGACATAGACTTACAACACGCTTTCGCGTACTTGACGATTAGTATTCTTCTCGATGGGTGTCTATATCGAAATCTAGTGTTGCAACAAGTACCTTTCCCTTCGCCTGATATTATATAGAATGATCATTAAGACACTCATTTAACAAGAAACATTTAGAAAACCACGATCAAACACTTTTTGTAAGATGAGAAGCCAACTTTTCGTGAAACAGTTCAATATAAAAAATTTCGTTTTGGCTATAACAATCAAAAATACTAATTTATATCAATATGCAGTTGCCGTATCCTTTTTCTTGACGTGTTTAACAGATGTACATAATGCTTTGAGGCTATGGTGAATACCCGAAATCACTTCGGCCTACACTTTTTGGGTACACAAATTGCTACGGTTGTTGATCATTTTATATATAAGGAACTCCTTTTTATAATTAATACAATCAGAGTGCGTAAATCAATTTATTACGCACGAGGTATATGATATATTACGCATTCATCGAGAGGCGGTAGTAGTTCGTATTACAAGGAATAGTTAGATTCAATGGACAGATAAGTAAGGTCACTAACTGAAACGGGTGTAAACGTTGAATTATTTGTTCGCTTTAATTATTTTATTCACAGTGCGGTAAAAGGAAAACTTATCCGCGTGACGTCAGCTAAATGTCAGACAAACGCGCGAGATTCCAATGCTTTACGCAAGCGAGTTGAGTCGATTCGTCAACAGTGATTACTTTTTTTTCCTTCGAAAGGTGTTGTCTAGCTTGTTGCAGATTTCTAACTCGTCACGCGTATCGTGAGAGATTTGCATTTAATGTCGCGGTCTCGTTCAACTCGTGATCTTGTTGCCGGTAATCAGCGTGATTTTGTCTACTAAGTTTGCATATACATATGTATTTCACCTGCTCCAAAGTAAGGTTGATGCTATGTCGTTATTACCACGTTAAATTACAACGTGCCACACTTCCTCCATAGGGTATCCAGACTTGTTTCCTTCGCGGTTGATCGAATTGAAAACTGCCCATTTGCGCGAGGAAAATGAGAAACTTTATCATTAAAACATACATAATGTACAATACAATTGGAACAAAAAAGTCCTCTGTAAAGAGGGTTTATTTCTTTTGCCTACGAGCCTTTTTGCTGTACTATAATAGCACTGACAAGCAACGAAAATTTAAATACCTTTTTAGATTGAGATTAAAATACTAAAATTGTATTTAAATGTATTAACTGTTTAACATACGCTCTAAAACATAGGTCTCTGTGTGATGGTAATTACAGTTACAAAGTTGTAATATTATTTTTTTAGCTAAACTTCAAACTAACGTAACTAAAGTAAATAACTCAATACACGTCGACAAAGTATTCGAAAACTAAGCAGTCTTAATTATCCCTGAGCCACATTGAGAATACATCAATTAAAACTACAATAGCATCCAAAACAGTGTCCCTTGCCTCTGTGATTGAAACAGTGCATACCTATCGTTGTGAAGGTCTTCCTGGCGTTGGTCACAGTGAGCCAGTTCCTCTTGACCATTTTGTCGCACATCCAGCCGAATGTGATCGAGCTTAGCCACATGACGGCGTACGGCAGCGCGGCCAGGGTGCCAGTACGATGAATATCGAACTTCAGCACGCCTGTCATGTACTTGGGGAGGTCCGTCACCATCGTAAAGTAGCCGTAATCATGGCCGATCTGCAACATTTATCATGGTGACGTCATCACAATCAAAAGGAAATTTTATGTGATAATTGGCAAGCGAGCAGCATTCACCATGAATTTAAGTGAATACCGCCGCACATTTTCTACGCCTGACGGATTGGCTCATGTGTTGCCAACCTCCACAAAAGTGCGCCTCTTGCACCACAGGGTCCCCTTTACGTCAGACTTTACGTACAGTACTGCCACATCACACCGTCTTCTGTAATGCTGTGGTACTTCCCCCCACAAGCCTGACCATTCGTGCTGCGTATGCTGCTCTGTGGCCCTACTACAATAATTACGCAGTCAACTTTTTCCATATTCTCTTGTAGTTCACAATGCTTTAGTATTTGGTTTGGTTCAAGGTATTTGGTAAATGCCACTGATTCTTAAAGCCGCGACTTCAGATAACAAATCCGCAGGTAACCGCCAAGCGGTCGCTTACTTTCCCGTTACAGGGTTTTGTAACTTTTTTGTTGCTCCATTGACAGCCACAGAGCCAGCATGATGAAATCGCAGCAAGAGTTTCGCGATCGATTATTGAAGTTAAATAGTAAAAAAGATCGAAGTATACAATCTCAATGTCCACTTTTGCGTTATCTCTTTTAATCTTATTTGATCATCACATTATCGAGGCGATCGGTCACTTTTTACAGCGCATCTTTAAAGGTCAGGGTTTTAGCGATGGAACGCTAAACCCACGTGGTCTTATAGTAACCTTATTTTGTTAGCACTCGGCATACCGTTTGTTAAACGATCAACAAACAAAACGAGTAACACATGATGATAACTAAAAGTATACGAATCAATCTTGCTAATGATGTAATGTGCAGCTGATGCCCAAAATATGAGCCGTTCTGTGTTTTAGACTGAATTCCGCAAATAAAATTGACTTGGCTTTAAGAGGCACAAAGGACATTTTAGAAGCATTTAAATGTTTAACGATTAAACGATTAATAACCAATTCAAACAATGCTTGTGTTTATAGATGGCTTAAAATACACGGCAGTAAAAATTGTTTTTTTACTTTTCAATTATTTATGGTAAAAAGTTCCAATAATGTGAAAGTAGCTTACCTGCGCACAGACTAGAGCCCAAAGAGGTACGGACATGAATATGGCTTTCCAGGGGATTGCTGAAGGTTGGCTGTGCTGGTGCCTGCCCAGTGCCTCCTCCAAATACTTCTTTTCTTTGTCAGAAATGTAAGGGTGTGACTCGGGGTCGTTGTAGCACAATATAGCCTACAAATATAAGCCACCATTCAATTATTGTTTTATGACAGATATTATGCCACCTGCAATAATACCAAAGGGATAATTTTATTTATATGGGAAATAAAACTAAAAATAAAGGCGATAAATCAGTAAAATTAGTTTCATTAGTAGTGTGTCAAGGACTTAATCAACTACAGAAGCTGGCGTGGCTCTACCACAGCGAAAATTGCATTCAAACGGAACCGCCTCAACATTTAACGACCACTCAGCTTCTCCCGAATGGTTTCGATCAATTTAATTCATTCTATTATATTTAAATTGTTTTCTGTGTCCATTTTTCGGTGTCCATATTTGTTGAGTTGTGAAAATAATTTTGCTTTGTACAGCCGCTGCGGTGTGAAGTGTGAAACACACGAAATCGCGTTTACTTTGTTCACTGGATGAAGGGAGACTTACCCAAAGAATGAACCACAGTATTCCGACGGCGCCGAACAGGTAGAAGACCGACTGCCAATCGCCCGACTCCCTCATGATGAGCCCCGAGAGGTAGGTCCCGGCGATGTTGCCTATCTGTGCACCACCGAACACCAACGAGCCCATCCGACCCCGCTCCGAAACCGGAGCCCAGCGGGCGAGCATGGCGTTCAGCGCTGGGAATGTAGTGCCCTGTAGACAAGGTAAGCTCTGTGTGAAGATACAGCCCAGTGGCGGTTTTGTCCTAAGGCCCAATAGGCCCGGGCCTAGGGCGGCCACATATTAGGGGCGGCTATTCGTGACAACAAATTCACTGATGATAACAAGATATATGATGAGCGCTGAGAAAGGGGCGGCTGGAACTTACTACATGGCTGGGTCTAGGGTAGCCAAGACTACAAATCCGCCACCAACTCACGTGTTTATCTACATCGCTACAGGAACTTGATCCGCCTCACAAATTTGCGAGTATATGTATCCACCACTGCCTGCGCAAGCAAAAGATTTTTCTCTCAAGAAAAATAAATGCATTTCTTAAATTTATTGTCACTATAGACAATAAATGCAAATGGGCGAGACGGCCATTGAAATATTTCCGGTGTCATTACATATTAAACAAATTAGTCATTAAAGTGTCTATAATGTCCATTGAGCATCTGTTTCATTTACCTAATGTAAATTACTTTGTTGCTGCATAAATTGATAGTTACAACAATGAACATTTACAAAGAGGAAATTTGTTCGAATAAAATGATAATAGATAATTTTATAGAAAATGCTTCATTAATAGTTTTCATAATTAAATTTATAATTCAGCGATGATTTCAAAAAAATATACAGCACGATTGAGTAATGAAATAAAACCAATCCCAAAAAAAAACTCGAAACCATATCAAGCATTGCTCGTTGTCGAGCATTTCTCACAAGTACAGGATCCTATCGAGACTCTGAATGATAAGTGAATTAAGTAAGGTGTCAAGGTGTAAATGTGTGATGTCCGCCAATCAGCAGTGAGGTAGCGTGACTCTACCTTAATACCTTCTGTACATAGGGAGGGCTTTGCCTAGCAGCGTTAAATATATGGTAGCAGGGGTACATAGATAGACTATTTTACTATAGGTGGTAAATTTAAGTATCAATCGACGTTTCTCACCTCTCCCAGACCTTCCAAAACCCTCAAGACGATCAGCCCAGTAGCGCCACCGACGCTCACCGTCCAAGGAGTGAGCAGGGTAAACACCGCCGTGCTCAGAACCCCAAATCCGAGGGAATATTTGCCGCCAAACCTCTCGGCTAGCATGCCGCCCGGCAAATGGGTCACGATATACCCATAATAGAACGCACTCAGGATGATTCCCTGGGTTTCCTCGTCCCAGTCGTAACCGCTTATTTCCTAGAAAACGTCGAAAACCATAAATTTCTCAAGGTAAACCAAGCCATTTTATACAATGTAACCATCTTACATTGCTTACATGCATTTTATTTTTTAATTAATTTTTATACGTCAAAACATTTCGATCAACTACTCCAAAATATTATGAATTATCACGTGCTCAGCGGTGTAGGAAAACATCGTGAGGAAACCTGCATATTTTCGAAGTATGTAATAACAAAAAAAATATTTCGAAGATATGTGAAGTACGCCAATCCGTAGTTGGGCTGCGTGGTGGACTATGCCCTTATACCCTCTGTACAGTGGAGGCCTTTGCCCAGCAGTGGGACATGTATAGGCTGATACTTTACTTTACTTTTTACTCCAAAACATTTAAAAATACTTCATTTTGTGTGAAAAATTAAAATAGAATAGTACCACTACACTACACAATGAAGGATCCAATTAATGGACGTGGATATTTTGCAAGGATAATATGTAAAATATATGACATGTAGTTATAATACAATAGAGACTTGGCTCCACAAGACGAAATTATTCTACAAAAACAAACGAGCACAATTATGTTTGATGGCATAATGTGAAAAGTAGATACTAGATTATTCTATGGATAATGAAAATGGAACAACAAAAATAGAGAAAAAACAAAGATCTTAACAAAAACAGGCCAAGTGAGAGTCGGACTCGCACACGTACCATTATCTATAAAACGCCAAAAAATCATGTCAGTTGTATGGGAGCCCCACTTAAATATTTTTTTGTTCTGTTTTTTAGTATTTTTAATTATAGCGGCAACAAAATTACGTCATCTGTAAAAATTTCCACTGTCTTACTATCACGTTCATGAGATACAGCCTAGTGACAGACAGACAGCGGAGTCTGTTCCACTTTTTGGGTACGAAACCCTAGAAATAGTCTATTTTTTATTGTTCTTAGGACAGGTTTCTTTTTACTAACAGCAGTTTCAGCCACAGTCTCTTCGACGTCGCCTGGACAGGAGCCCTCTTCGTAGGCTGGCGAGTGCGCGTGTCGACGCACCATCTGAGTTATGGCGATGTTCAGGCACACACGCATCGTGTAGGCGTTCGCCACCGCCAAGAAGCCCATGATAGCCATCACCCATCGCTGAGGTATTATGAAGACTGCGAACAAACACACAGTTCTGAATAATATTTATATAAGCAGGTTTACCAAGTTAGCACAATACTCACATGTTCGTATTATGCAAGTACTTGAGGTAAGTATTAACAATACAAACATGTATTTAAATTACAGCGGGGAAAACCTGTGTGTGTGTGTGTGAACATGATAAATGCACCCACGTAAGAAGTTAAACTTCTTGGGCGTGCCAAAACATAAAAAATAAGTATTAATAAAAAAGTGAATTATATAAAGTCATTTTTGGAGCTGTACTTCGATTTGCGCGTTAGGGCAAATTGACAAGAGTGTAGTTTTACGATGTGAAGGCAAAAAGACAAAATTAACAAGGTTATCCAGAGCCCGCGAGTTTGATACGGCCCTCCGCGTTGGGTAGAGCCGCGCATGTGCTCATGCGTTATCTATGGGGAGGAATGTCACCTACGGGCCATCGAGGCTCGGTACTGACCATGACCCCGGTGGTGATTGACTGTAATTTTTGAATATAATTATTAACATTAATCGGTGGTGGGTGGTGAGAACTGAGAACGGCTCCGAAACGCGATTATACTCCAGTGGATCCGACGTACCTTTGTCCCCTTCCTCGACAGGGTCGATAGGACGTTGTGCGGGCGACGTTTTTTAACGATCGGATTATGTAGGGTTTGTAACCTGCGATTACAACCAGAATGGGAATGGTTTTCTGTTCTTACGATAAACCGTTTAACTCTTGAAAATGTTCGCGCAGCGTCGGCAGTCTGTAATGACTATGCAGGTCGACGTTATTTTGATACACCATAGAACCGGTTGCGAGACTGATAAACTAATTTGAATTATTTTTAAATTGCAAAATTTTGTAGGTAAATGAACAAAATCTTTCCGCGCAGCGGGATTCGAAGCTGCGTGTTCTAAATTTGTAAGAATGTAATCATAATCAGCCTTTAATTATGACAAAATGAAAAGTATTAAAATATTCAAATCACAACATAATAACTGTTTTTCATGCATTGAATCTCGGCGTTTAATAATCCTATAACGAATCAGTATTTCAAATAGGTACTAAAATCGATCAATATTTCTTTAAACTATTGCTATTATGCCATTTCGCCATTTACCATTTCGTTTCATTTCACGTTCGAAAAGGTACAGAAGCGAGCTGTATTCAGAAAGTTTAACTGTCGTGTACTTCTATAAGTAAAAAAATCTTACGGATTTTTTCAAATTAATCTTTATTTAATATAAAGATTAATTTGAGAGTGTTACTGATAAAAAAAGTCTTATAACTTATAGTGTAAGAACAGGAACCGCTGTGTAAATTACGAGTATTTTGTTTGCGTCTTTTGTGTAAAAAGAAATAGCCTCGGACTAAATGAAATAGGAATATAGTTAAGTGAGCAAGTCAATTAGGTATTACCTATACCTATCCAGTAGGGCTCGTGCCTAAATTAGATTTTAATGTAAAAAGAAGTATATCGTGTCGTCAGAACAAAGAATTAATTTCATTAGCCCATTTAATCTTAATTCTATCTGAGTTAATATGTTAATGTCAATAAGATGATCATGACGTTGTGCCGACTTACTATTCCGTGGAAACCGAAAATTATGTAGGATATACTTATAATTAATATACGTTATTAATTTTAATTATTAGTGTATTTTTGACAAAAAAATAATTCAAAGTAACGGCCTATGTATGTTCTGGGTAAGATCTTCTCTGTTCATCTTGGTATAGCGCATAGTCACAACCCCAGTGGCGGACTAGACATATCTTTGAAATATTTCCTTATTATTCCATCGAACATACACTATGATTTTACAGGTAGCAATTAATTTAATTTGATGACGGATATTTTTATGGGGACTAAGTCAAGAATCACAATCACTTCTTTCATTTACGCGAATACTATAATAATTATGCTTTTGACTTTATTTATAACCACATAGAATTTTAAATCAAATTGAATAGTTTTATGTGACCATTCAAGAATCGCTTTGCGTAATACTTCACGTAATTGATTGAAATTAGAGGACGTTGTAGTATCTTCATTGCCGATTTTGTACTTGTCGCAATATATTCAAACGTTATAGAGATAGCGTCATCGCGGTAATAAAATAAAGAGGTATGCTGTCAATATTCAGATACGCTAGTTCTTGTTTACGCTGAAAACTGTCACTGCATGTTATTACATTTATATCCCATATTTATTACATTTATATCTAAACCTCCCTTTATATCCCAGATATATTTATCTGGGATATAAAGGGAGGTTTATGTATTTATATATGATTTACATGAATTCGCCGTTAATGTTATTATAGTGTTATGTAAAATATAATATCAAAATGTGGTAGAAATGGGATAATTAAAACTGTTTAGCTTATTTTGATACATGAAATACATGAATTGTAATTTTTTTTTCTAAAAGTTTGAGTCATTGTCGTTTTAAGTGCCTTGTATACAATAGCAGTTGTATAGAGAAACTTAAAAGTGTACACTAATTGCTCAACATGTATCTTGTTTGTTTGTCAGAGTAAGTTAAAGTTAAGTGAAACCGTAAGAAAGTTATGTTATGCAATTTAAATCTTTGCATAAGGTTATGTTTTGTTATTTAATATCGCTTTGTCGCTAAATGTTATAGGCCACCTAATACGGATAAACGAATGAAAAATAATACATGATATCTTGTTAAAAACTAATCTTTTACAATCACATTGATTAATATTGCTATTATTATTTCATTTAGTCTGAGTAAAGCGTATTTAAATTTTATAAAAATTTTATAAAGGTGTTGCAAAATGTCAGTGGGTAGTGTCGTCGGTTATCACACAACATAGAGAAACTGCCAGATCGCTTGCCACCTTCTCACCTCCAAAAAGCAATGTAATTTTTATAATTCAATCTTATACCCATTCAGACGCATACGTGCGATTCGAAATGTCCGATTTACTGTATGAAATTAAAGTATTTCAAAGACACTTTTTGGAATGTAGGAAACCGGAACTATTCAATGCGAGCACTTGACTTCCTCCTCTCGGCCGGATAAAAAGAAACGCAAAAGCAGTCTACGTTATCACGGATAGGCCACTAACTAAATCATCGAACAATCGCTTACGCGCTCCTCTTCATTCCGCTCGTGCGTCTCACCGCAGAAGCGACTTGCGTACAATCTCCACGACGATTTACGACCGCGCGTCAATAACTCGTCATACCTATCTATATTAAAACGGCATGTAGGCACTTCATCGAGCAACGAACGCTTAACGATAATTGTATATATTTTACACAAGCATCGCTGTGTCGTCGACACAATAGTGCTGAAATTGATTTTCTTCGGCGGCACTTCTGACCAACGAGGCGTGCAGGGAGCGCACCATTGTTACCATATCGAACTATTCTATTAGATGTAAGTATTGTGGGATATTGAATTCCATTATGAATACATTGGGTTAGACTCAATACGTTATTCGTACTGTAATGTGAAAAAATGTGGGATATTGTATTCCATTAGGAATAGGCAGAGTACCTGTGGTAAAAGTTCTTATGAAATGATTTTAACATAGTGGAAAGGAGATTATTTCCGAACGTTTATACGAGCACGAGCGAGCTGGCGGCCATTGCGGCCTACAACCGGTTCGATCCCGAGTAAGGATTAATTGCCTTCTCTTCTCACATAAACGTTGCTATATATAAAATTATATCGATAATTTGGTCGTACTTTATTTGTCACATACAACTGTATATAAGTTAATATCGATAACTTAGCCGTCCTTGTCGAAGAAATCGCCTGAGATTATTAGAATTAACTAACTATTCTCAACCAATAACTCTATACAGTTCGTAAGACCTCTTTAGAAAAAAATAGTAAAGCGTATAGGATGTTAAAAATAACATTTTAAATCTATTCTCAGCGGCTTTCATTAGCTTATAGGTTACCGCTATATTTCATACGAATACATAAACTTATTGTAATTCTTTCAAAAGTCGTAGAATTATAAATTTAAGTACATACAGTATTTAAATTTATAATTCCATTTTTTTATCATGTTTAGTGTAATTGTAATATTTTGAAGTTTATTATGAGGTTTACCTCCATAACCACATCAAGTTGGGCGTGTTAAAACTGTTACCAATTGGTACCAGCAGTTAGTTGTTAAATAACTTTGGGAATACTCTAATTGTACAATATTTAAATTACTGCTACTTGAACGATATTGTCAAATATTTGTGTGCCTTGAAATATCATTTTATTACAGTTAATATAATATTTCAACATTTTATTAATATCAATATAATATTTATTATAAATCAGTACCGTTATCGAGTATTTAAAGTCTAGCTTCATATCATCAGTGGATTAGGTAAAATTTTTCTATTATGTACTTACAATCGATATTTTTTTAGTTAAGACTGGTTTTGTTTGATCATAACAAGAAAAAGAAAGGTAAAAAATGTAATTGTTCGTCTTATTGAAGAAGATCGGTGGGCTAAAATGGAAATATTAAAAAAAACTCTATAATGATAGTTAATTATATACATAGTTATTTTTTTAGAACAAACAGTTCTGACGGCCGATACGGGGACACGATGATGTTTATCCTAAGCGCAATTAGATTTTCAATTGGCAAGTAATTTCGCTTGGGCCTTACCGTTTAAGTAAACACAAAGAAATCTACTAATTATCACCTGTTTAATGTGATGTTTCTATTGACATACTAATTGCAAAACACAGTTGAAAGAAGCTTCTTCACACACATGATTGGAATGCAATTGCGCGCGTATAATTCAAGCTGTCGATTGGGAATTAAAATTAATTCTATATTTGCATTTAAACTGATTACGTTTTAAACATTGTAATGAAATCAAAAGTACATTGCTGGTATTCAATGTGCTATTTAATATTTGTAGTACTGTACCACAAAACAATTTGTACAATTAAGTACCTTATTGTAATTATTAAAATAAGGACCTGGCTATAAGTAAAATAAATGTCATTCATCATATAAA